GTGGGTCTGTGGGTTGCTGGTAACTCCCCATGTTATGGAGTGGAATGAACACTGATTGTGGAGTCCAACAGACATGACTTTGAACTTCAGCTCTATGTGACCCTGGGTAAGTCACTTTACCTCTTACAGTCCATTCCCTCATTTATTTATTTTTAAAAAAGATTTAATTTATTATTAGAGTGAGGGGAAGAAAAGGAGAAAGAGAAGCAAGGAAATATCAATGTGTGGTTGCCTCTCACGCACCCCCCCCACTGGGGACCTGGCCCACAACCCAGGCATGTGCCCTGACTGGGAATCAAACCAGCGACCCTTTGGTTCACATGCCAGCACTCAATCCACTGAGCCACACCAGCCAGGGCTCAATTTCCTCATTTATAAAATTAGTTGGTAATCCTTCCTCTTAGTGCAGAGATGAAACTAACTTAGATGATGCATGGTTGAGTGTCCAGCCCGGTGACAGGTACACAATAAGCACTAAGTGCCGCCGTTCTGCCCCTCCCCAGATTCCTGCCAACTGGGCTACGCAGAAGGTCCTTGCCTGGGGATGGTCAACAGGTATTTCTACAATGGCTCCTCCATGGCCTGTGAGACTTTCCAATATGGCGGCTGTCTGGGCAATGGCAACAACTTCGTCACTGAGAAGGATTGTCTGCAGACCTGCCGGACTGTGGGTGAGTTCGGGCCCATTGCTTCTACGCAGGCCACATCTCGCAATGCTGTTCTCCCAACAAACCACCTGCCAGCTGAACAGGTAGTTAAGAGAGGATGTTCCAGGGGTGGAATTCCAGGGCAAGTTTCCTGAAATCAGGAACTACCATTCGGGTAGGGGCAACCCTGGGCACATCGTCTCTTATCGTGGGCTTCCGTTCCACAGACAGAAGAGAGGGACTCTGCGCTCTAGATGAGCAGGGCCCCCTGGTTTAGATCCTCTGCCTCAGGTTAGCCAGTTGTAAGGATTGCTAATGCTGTGTGCCCACTTCCCACCCCACAGCGGCCTGCAACCTCCCCATAGTCCGTGGCCCCTGCAGAGGCTTCATCCAGCTCTGGGCATTTGATGCCGTCCAGGGAAAGTGCATCCTCTTTACCTATGGGGGCTGCCAAGGCAACGGCAACAAGTTCTACTCGGAGAAGGAGTGCAAGGAGTACTGCGGCGTCCCCGGTGACGGTAGGAGGCTGTTGGGGTCCAGGCGGGAGAGCCCTGGTAGGTGGGGGCTGGGAGAGCTAAGTTCTGGACGCTGTAGCAGGTGACCAGCCTATTCGCTCTCTGGGCCTCAGCTACCCATCTTTAAAATGGGGCCAAGCCCTGGGCCTTTCCTGAGCTTGGATGGGGTACCTGGGGTACCAGGTACAGGCAGAGGGTGTGCAGGGTTGTCTGAGGAGTGTGGCAGAATAGGGCTGATGCTGGCACTGCCACAGTCAGGCTGGCCACGCTGGGAAAATGCCAACTTTAGCCTCAGTTTTCTCTTCTGGAAAGTGGGACAAGGCACTCATTTCCCAGCCTGCACAGCGCCTTGCACAACGACCAGCCAGCTAACGGCAGCTGTTACTGACAATGACGGTGGCGCTGTGACAGGAGGGCAGGCACACCTCAGTTTATGGCACTTCACAGACACCGTATTTTTACAAGCTGAAGGCAAGACCCTCCACCAGCAAAGAGATTATAACTCACTTTACCGTGATGGTTGCTTTATCACGGTGGCCTGGACCCCAACGCTCAGTGTCTCCAAGGACTGCCTATGACAGCATTGCAGGGAATAGCAGCCACTTAAGATTACTGTGCCTTATTCCCCCACTGGGAAATGGCATCTGAAGTAAATCAGAAGGGGCAACGGATCAGATCGTTCTCTGGAACGCACTTTGGGGCAGCAAGCCACTCCGCAAGCCGCAGTTTCTGGCCTCAGGCTCCCACTCAGCCTGAGCTGCCTTTCCCCCTCCACCAGGTATCCCCTCCCCCGACCTGCCCCTCCCATGCACCCTTGGGCGAGCCCCACACCTACGCCCCGAGCCTGTGTGTCCACAGGAGACGAGGAGCTGCTGCGCTTCTCCAACTGACCGGTCCGTCGAAGGCCAGAAGTCCAAGGCCAGAGGATGGCAGGAAAGCTGCGGGCCAGTGTCTGTTCCAGGACCCCACATTGGGCAGGCTGGGCCAAGAGACCTGGGTTCAAATAAAAACCAAGTCATAGACCCCTGCAATTCCATGTCCTGACTGTTCGTTGCCACCATAAGTATAAGGAGACGGGGGCAAGGCAGGGAGACAAAGCTGGAGCAGGGCGTGAGCACAGAGCCTTCCCAGGAGTGAACAATGGGTGCCTTGGAAATGTAATAGAACTACCTTCCATACGTGAAATTGGTGACGCAAATTACAAAGCATAAACCACAGTTCTATGTACGCGACAGTAGTATGAGGGAGGGTTGCTTTGTTTTGGTAAAGCTGGAAAAGAGGGGAAAGCTCTGGGTACTTGTTTCTGGGAGAGGTTTGACCAGGTCACCAGCGACCCAGGGTCAGGATCATTGTACCCCAGTGTGCCCAGGTAGGCCAGTGCCTGAACTAATTCCCCGGTCCTTGGTCCCATGGAACCCACCCCAACACTTCACTTCGGCCACAGCTGCATCCTCAGCACCAGCTGCTGGAAACTGAGAATCTCAGGCAGTTTCCCCACCAGGCCCGAGTTTTCACCTCCTGGGATCCTCACTCTGCCCTTTGCCCCAGAAGGAGAATGTTCACCGACCTTCACATCACGTCCATGACGACCAGCAGGGAGGGACCTGGACCAGAGCCAGCAGACCTCGGTCTGGCTGGCTTCCCCTCCCTGCAGGACTGGCAGGCCACCGGAGGGGGCTCAGCAATGACCTGGCCCAAGAACGCAACTCCAGCAGCCCCCAGTTCAGACACAGCGAATACACAAACATCCCATTTATAAACACTTCTTGCGAGCTTCCCCCACCCAGAGCCCAGCTGGATGCGGCTGCTGCTGGGAGGGAAGCCCAGTCAGTGTGTGTCCTGCCATGGAGCTGACTGGGGCAGCAGAAACCCAGATGGGGCCAACACCTCTTCTCCACGGGCGGACCGGGGCCGGGGATGAATTCAGTCAGGGGTCCTCCCATGCCATTAACCCATCTGCTTAAGAGACCCCCCAAAAAGGAAGAAGGCAGGACATTCCACATCCTTTTCCACTGAGGGGATAAATCGAGAAGGAAGGATTTGGGTGTAGGAAGCCTGCACCCCCTTGGTTCAGAACATATCAAGTCCCCCCTCCCTCTGTCTCCTCCGAAGTCTAGAATTTGGAGAGAGGACTGTCCAGAGAGAAACATTTGGGGTCATGGCCAGGACTGTCTGGGCAGAAACACATGGGCTCCAGGCACAGGGGGAAGTGACAGGCCTGGACCTAACAAATGGCACCGCGCCTCGCTCCCACCCACGTATGCCTCGCACACCAGAGCCACCCAGCGCAGTTTGAAGGTGCCACTCTGCAGAGAGATCTTTTGAAGTGACCTGAAGAACAAATGCTTAAAGCAGAGGGTGCAACCCGCAGGGGTGCTGGGCAGCCTCTGGGTGGAGTGTGGAGCTTAGAAGGTGTTTTCCACGGTTCTGAGTTCCCCATTGAAAAACGGAGCTTCCACACACAAGCCTGCGTTTCTCAGTTCTCTAGAAAAGTACCGCAAGTTTCAGCAGCCCTGGGGCTGCACCCTGTCCGCACCCCCAGCCCCACCCAGCCTGGAGCCACTTGCCTCTGTGACACTTACCAAGCAAGACCTTCCCCACAAAAGTTTCCCTTGGATCCTGACTTTATCCCTCAGGGGTGCAGTGGGGGGCGGGAGCACACCTGTGACCCCAGGTCCGAGCTGTGGCGTCCATTTCAGAAGGCCCAGACACGTCCCCAGCAAGTGGCTGCCCTGAAGACTCTCCTCACCCGAGTCGACACTCATGTCTCACACACAACAGACGTGGCTGGTTAATGCACATTCTGGCTCAGACTTTCAAACCCACAGGCTGGGCCTTCAGCTGGATGTGGGCTCTGGGCCCGGCCGGGGCCTCATCTGTGATGCTCTGAGGGGTGGGGATTGTCCGCCTCGGGAGGACCCTGTCTGGACTTCTGTTTGAGACCCACAGAAGCCTCTTGATTAAACTTCAGCTGCTCACTCAGGGGTGCCCACTCAGGTACACTGAACAGCATAAGACACCCACGGGAGGGGGTTTGGAGGGCAGGCTGGTGCCCTGCTCGAGCCTATCTGTCCTGTCTCAAGTGCCGTGTGATGGAATTTGTCCCCCAGACCCAAGGACAGCAGCCTGGGTCTGGTGAGAGACAGGGACGCAGAGAGGCACCGGGGGTCGCACCCCATTACCTGGACACCTTGAATGGCTTTCTGGCAGTAGCAGGCCTGCTTTAGGAGGGGCTGTCACCCTCTTTCCCCACTCAGGCCACAGCTCACCTTCCAGGGGCGTCTTCAGTCTGATGTGCCTTTGGCAGGACTCCAGCAAAACACTGCGGTGTCCAGGTCTGACATGTGAGGCTCTGGACCAGGCCTGCAGGGGGACGAGTCCACCAGGTCTGGTCCCTGCAGTTCACTGCGGAAGGCACGCGCAGCCTCCATCAGGAACCTGGCAAAGCCAGAGACCCTCTTCGCCAGGAAACAGACATCACACACAAGAGGCACAGGAATGAGCACCAGGCAAGGTGGGCTTGGACGTGTCCCTCAGGCACTGAGTCTGTGGGACTTGAGTGACGTCCACCCTTTCTTCCACGGAACAATGATGCTCCAGGAGCCAGGCCTGAAGGGACCACGGCTGCCCTTGGCTGCATCCCACCATCATCCACCATCATGTGTCAGGCACTGGCTGAGCTGCGTCTGGTGCAGGAAGTAGGCAACTCCGACCTCAGTGTGCCCCTGGGGAGGGACTCCAGCCGTCACCCCCAGCGAGCCCGTTGGTCCAGCTCTACTCTGCTCCTAACCGGACGCCATGGCCCAGCCCCAAACCCAAGAAATAACACCACACTCTGCCATCTTCCTAAAGGTCGTTTTATTGTAAAACCATAAATACAACACTGACATGAAATCATTTAAGCAACTGATCCTCTCTAACCATTAAAAGGGTGTCTTTTTGCCTTGGCATTGACCGACTGGGGAACAATGTTTTGAGAATTCATGGGGTAGAGGGGTTCTGAATTCTGGGCTGGGGCTTTTGGCGACTTAAGGAACCAAGTGGAACCTTCCTCTTCTCCCTGGGAATGTCCCACTTTTGGACAAGAACAGTTAAAAACAGCAACATTTAAACAGCTCAGTTTTAAATTTTATTATTTTGTAAAAATCGTTCCTTCTTCTGTCCCTTTCCTCCATTTGACATAAGTAAAAGTTTGAAACACCACGAAATTGATTAGTCTGTAAATGGAGAAACAGTACCCAAACAAAGCGAAACAAAAAAACCCAAAGGACAAACAGAAAACCCTTAAATAAACCCTCAAGTTCGGTCTCGGGGGCTCACACATCACACAAGAACCATCAACTTAACCCCCCCACAATGACTCTTTGCAGAGTTGCCGGATCCACACCGACACAGGAGACCGCGAACAACGCCTTCTCTTAATCAACACAGCAAAGGTGACACTAGGTAACTTTTTTTTTTTTTTTAATACAGTACATGGTACACAGGGTCCCAAGATGGCCCTGCATAAACCCCTCGTGGAGACTTGAGCCAAGCACTGGCTGTTTATAAAAATATTGTGTTGCTACAAAAGTATAAATTAATGCTACCGGTATTAAGAAATATTAAACACATAAAACTTATAAGGATTAAGAAAAATATTCATTAATACCTGTAGAAAACTCTGGCCTAAAAAAGATATTTTTTTGTGTTTGTTTTTTTGTAAATTTTTTTTTGTATTTTTTTTAAGATGACTTTGAGTTTCTTGCACTCGAAGAGAGAGACACAGTCCGATGTGCCTATGGTATTGCCTAGAACGTCTTCACTACTGAGAAAGGATGGGGTGCACGCACATGGGTACGGAGCGGGGTGCGGGAGGGAGGGGCACCAAGGCTTTCTCAAGATTTACCTGATGTGAAAGAATCACCGATGTGGAGTTGTGCGGAAAAGAAGGTAGGATCAGAAGAGAACTGAAAATAATTTATACTTTTTAAAAAATATTTCGGCTTCAGGTGGTTGTACAAAATGTTTTCCTGATGCTTGGGATCTGACTGGCCCTGCTGGACGTGTGCCCGGTGGGTCGGAGCCTTCAGCCCCGCAGGTCCCTCTGTCTCCTGGCTGCTGAGTCAGCCCCGTGCCAGCCTACGAGCTCACTCACTGTCTGGGAACCCGGCCGCCCTGGCTGGGTGGGAGGGAGAGCCCCTGGCAAGGGCTGGCTGGCACCTGGGTTGTGGGAGGAGTGCCTCCTTCCAGCTGGTCTCAGACCCCAAGGTCTCTGGCCAACCTGGACTTCGGGAAGCGCCACAGGGATCTCAGGCCCTTGAGGCTGCAGTCAAGGCTGGGTTGCGCCCCTGTAAGGAACTTTGGTTTGAAGAGTCAAGGTGCCCAGTGGGACGCATTAGATGGGTAGGACCCTCAGGGTCCTGATGCTGACGCCCAACTGCAAACCTCGCAGATCCCTCTCGGTACAGGAGTTGAATCTTTAAAGCGACACTGTGGTGATGGCAGTGGGGCCGTGAGTACACAAACAGGATCTTCGCCCTCATCCAAGTGGGAGCAGATGTCTTCTCACACAGAAACCCCAGGGCCCCTCTGGGAAAGACTGGCCTCTACCGACTACAAAAGACCCAAATAAAAGCCAAAGAAAAACCACATCATCCTCCAGAAAACCCTGAAAAGGGGATGCGGGAGGGAAACATAAGAAGGAAAAACACCGTATCATTGGTTCGCCATAACTGGCCTAGCAAACATTAGCCACAGTGAAGAGAGGGGCAGGCCCCACCCCAATTCTCCCACTGGCCCAGGTAGACACAGGGGGCCGGGGCAGGGCCGAGAAAGGAGCCCCCCTGTGCCGTCTCCAGGGGACAGCCTGAGCCTCACTTAGCCTCTGGGTCCGGTCTGAAGCAGCAGCCTGTCTGGGAGCCCTCCTTCGGGTACATCCCAGGGACACTGGCGCCGGCCAGTTCCCAAGGCAAGGGCATAGCTACAAACCCACTCCAGCTCCATGGGGGCTGGAAGGCTGCCCACCAGGCCCTGTGCGCTTCCTCTTCCTGTCTCTGCAAGTACACCCCTCCTGACGACAATGTCCAGGTCCTGTCCCTGCCTGGGCCATTTCTCACTGGGTCGTCCTTCTCCATCCACATCCTGGCTTCCTTTCAAACCCTGCTTGTGAATCTGTGGAGCCCAGAGGGTGTGCGCTGTATCCCTGACGTCTCCCGAGGTGTCCACTCTCCAAGGAGCCTTGTCCAAGTCCAGGAGGAGGCGGGTGGCCTCCTGCAAGCATAGGGGACTCTGAAAGACAGAAGTTCGGCTTCACAGTGGAAAACATGCCATGTACCATTTTTCTGGTATTTCTTGAAAGTGCAGGAAAGGACCAACTGCAGGAGAGAACTCCTGACGGCCTCTGGGCCTGGTGCAAAGCAAATACTCCTCCTGGAACTCGGGAGCCCCGTAACTTCCCAACGTGCCATCAAACCCTTTCCCCAGCCAACAGCCACTCTCTGAGTGCCACGCAGGAGGCTGTCAGGTGGGCTGGCTGCCAGCGTAGCAGGTGGCCCCTCTGGCTAACCTAGGCTCAGGGAGGGGAAAACGGTGCAGGGCCAGGGGCATCCACTCATGACACCTAGGATGGCACCGTTGCTCTTGGTGGAGCCGAGACCCCTGGGCTACTCCAAGCCTGAGGGACCACCCACGAGGCATGGTCCTGGGCTTGAGTGGTGAAGCCAACTGATCTCAGATGAGGCACCAAACCCCTGCAGTCTCCTCTTGGGTCCGTGTACGACAGAACAAAGAGCTGTTCTGTCCTGGGAATCACATGGCTTGAGATGAGTGGTGTCCGAGTCAGCTGGCCAACACCTGGAGCCGCCCAGAACGTGACAGAAATGGTTTCTGGCCATCAGCTGCCAAGGGCCTGTGGCGGAAAGTCCTACAGCAGTCACAGAAGTAGGACGCAGAAGACAAAACCCTTCTGTAGGGCCGTGTCAGGCTGAGTGCTTGGAGATGAAGTGGAAGAGTCTACCTCAGTCCTTTGGCTGAACTAGAGTTGCAACAAGGTGGATATTGCTGTAAATCAGGGAGCCAGAGGCTGGGCCTGGGAGATCTTTGGGTTGTTAAGCTGTTGGCTGGGCAGGACCTGCGCTATGGGAATTGCCTGTGCGGCACAGTCTTTCCTGCTGGCAACATGAGTTTCTGGGGAACCAGAGGTTGTGAGAGACCAATGATACCTGCCACCTTGTTACCACGCTTGGCTGAGGCAGCCCCAGGAGACAGCTGTCAGAGTGCCCAGTGGGATCGTGCCTGTCCTAGGACGCCAAACCCGTCCTAAGGGACAAACGAAGGTGGCATGGAAAACCAGAACAGGAGCTGACGCCCATGACTCAGATCTAGAACTGAAGTGAGACTTTCTCCAATCTCCATCTTGGAGGGCAGACACTCCCTGTTCCAAAGAAGATTCACAATGCACATCTGGACGTGGTCTCGGATGGCTTTACGAGAAATTGAAATGCCGGTTTTCTAACTAACTGGCCCTCAGGCAGGGCAACACCAGCGTAGCTTGGCTCTAAGCAGACAGAGGACAGGCTCCAAGGCTGGTCCCACCCACCACACGGAGAGCGGCTGGGGTCCTCCCCATGTGGTTCAAGTGCCCAGCCGCCGACCTGCCGCCAGCAGCAAAGCAGAGCTGGAGGAACCGTTAGCCGTAGGCATCTGTCGCTCCCCCGCACCCCTGCAGCCACCTTCTGGAAGGCCCCCCATGGGTCTGACCGAGGTCTGCCGATACACTTTGGGAAGTGACATTAGGTGACTGTCCAGTGCAAACGGAGGCTCTTCTGATGGTGCGACCCCAGCTGGAACTGTTGCAAAGGAAACATGTAGAGCTTCTCCGGGAGAGGAAGCGGCAGGGTGGCCGCTGAGACCACGGCTTGCTGGAGAGAATGCGGAAACGGCCCACTTGCATGAATTCGCTTCAGCATGTCCAAGACTCGGAGCATCAGTTCTCATGAGGCAGAGCGAGCAGGCTGGGCCCCCAGGGTCAGTGTTTTCTCACCAACGTCGCTTCCCAGCCTCCCACGGGCCGGGGGCAGAGGACTGTTGTACAGTGCTTTTTGTAGTCGAGGTATCTCGCAGTTGAGTAATGCTTTATTACTAGGAAGGGATGATAAAATGTGCCTTCGTGAACGGCCCCCGCAGTGGTGGTCTTCCTCAGCCTTAAGCCCGCCGTGTGACCATCTCTGTGCCACAGCCATGGACACCGGAGGACATGAGACCACCAGCACTTTATTCAGAGAGGTGGGGTTGTGGGGGGTGATCACTGATCCTGATGGAACCACCTCTGGGGGGGAGGGGAGGGGCCGCCCTCAGCATTGGGACTGAGTGTATGGAAACTAAATTGCTCAAGGAGAGAAAAGCCTAAGGACATCTTTCACAGCATCAAGTTCAAGTGGCCCGGGTGCCATTCCGCCCTCAAGACATCAATCATTTGGCCCGCAAGGCACCATGCTCAACTACCGTCCTGGAGGGAGGGCTGAGGCTCCTGCAGAGGCCCCAGGACTGCGGGCAATGGAGCCGTTGGAACCACCTGGGGCCCTGGGGAGGGAGGGAGGCTGTGGGTCTGAGGTGTGACAGACGTGAACAGGGACCAACTCAGGAGTCCCTGCGGAGCTGGAAGTGTCAGTGATGCGGCGAGTAGTGTAATGCACTCTGGGTATAGAAATCAGACATTCGCAGTACCAGACACAGTGAGCCAGGAGGGCGGGGCTTCCTCTCACACTGGACTCCGAAGCCACGTGCTTCCCTATGGCTTCCAGCGGACCCCACACCCGCGGAACCTGTGATTCCAACCCCACTCCTGGTCTCCAAACAGCACAGACAAGTTCACAGTCTTTGCTGTTCAAATACACGGAAACTGGACTGTACAGGAGAGGTTAATAAAAACCTTAGGAGAGAGAATATACCACTGAGATGAGCTAGTTTACAGTGTGACTCGAGGAACAAAAAGGGCAATTAAAAAAAAACGTCAACATATAAGTTATAGACATTCAGTGCCTCCTAGGAGAGTCTAAATTAAATTTGAAAGAACAAAACAGACCAAAAAAAAGTAAAAACTGCTAAAAAGTTAGGAGATAATATTAAGGAGTGGAGACAGCATTAATACTTCTCTGAAATATGTCTTTTTCTTTCTCTTACATTAAAAAGCCAAAAGTCAGCTTTATATTCTTAAAGTCTCCTTTCCTGCTCTGGGGAGAGAGATAGCTGTGTTTCTAAGGCGGCTGCCCTGGGACACCTGAGGTGTCTGGAAGGCAGCAGCTCAATGCCCTGAAGGTGAACGAGAACAAAGTCCAGTGCAGAAACTGTCCATCTGATGCAGTTTGGAGAGTCCATAGCAGGGCAGCTGGGGAGGGGCGGGGCGGGGGGGCAGCAGGGGCTGGGGGAGGGGCGTGAAGGGAAAAGGGGGACCACAGGGTGAGGGACAGAGAGCATCAAGTCACTTCAGATCTCAGCTGCCTGAACATTTTGCGACATCAGCATTCTACCAATCTGCACACCTGAAAACGGAGTCTTAAAAGCCCCTCACTGAGAAAGGGAGGTGAAGCGTTTTCCCTCTTTCCCACTCAGCTTTCCTGACACGCCCAGTTTAATGCACACACACCCATGAGCAGGCGTGTGTGCATGCACCAGGGTAGTGTGTGTGTGCGTGTGCAAAGCTTCTGTGGCCACACAGAAGAGCCCCACGCCCACACCCATGGAACGTGCGCTTGGACACGCCCGCGCAGGTGCAGCCCCGTGCACACACACGCACACACACACACTGTAAAAAGCACTTAAGTTTCCAGGGGGCATTTATAATGAGGTCCACAGTGTTTAGAACTTAAATTCCTTTTCTTTGTTTGCGACAGTGTTGTGTATTTTTTTTCCCCTACCATTCTCTTCTCTTTTTCTTTTGTTCGGAAATAACATCTTAAAGCATGTTGGATTTCAGAAACATGAGTTTGTTCATATCTTCTGGACTGAGCAGTCGCCTCCTTCTGATTAGAAGGGCCTGTTCACACATATTCACACACCCGCTCCTGGCCCCCACAGCCGGAACGGCGAGGAGCCAGAAGGCAAGCTTGGCGAGTTTCGTGTGCTTTTGGGTAACGCACGACCAGTACTGGAAGAGATCAGGGGTGGCCTGGAAGAGGGGCTCCTGCAGGTAATCGTACACCTCGTTCTTCCCCAGCCGATCGTCTTCCTGAGCTGTGGGGTTCTCACCAGTGGCGGAGCGGGGCTTCTTGGCGGTGGGTTCAAAGTCAGCCTCCTCAGTCCAGGACTCCTTAACCTCGTTGATGAGCTCACACACCTTGCCGATGATTTCCTCATGCTGATAGGGTGGGACGGGCCGCAGCTTCTGCTGTGGGTCCAGGATCATGGCCACCTTATGCGCTGGGTGCACCTTGAAGTTCTCCTTGAGGGCTTCCAGGAAGAGGTGGCAGAGCTTGCTGACAGTGCCCGCGTCATTGGCCTTGGCCGTGAACAGCTTCTCCAGCCTGACGTAGGTGGGCAGCACCAGCTGCAGGGTGGGCTGGCTCTCGTTGCTCAGCTCGATGACCGCCTGCTTCACCGGCGTCAGGATGGCCGCCAGGTTGCTGAGCAGGTGCTTGTTGAGGCTCTGGATGAGGTTCATCTTCTTGGCCCTGCTGTAGAACTCACAGATCTGCTCGTAGCGCTCGTGCACCAGCAGCAGCGAGTCCGTGACCGAGTTCCAGCAGGGTGGTGGCGAGGTCTCCTCCAGTGACCCGAAGGTCTCCTTTGCAAGGCCCGTGGAGCCCGCCAGGTCCTCACACACGTTGAGCAGCTCGATGACCTCGTGCATGCTGCGGGCCTGCAGCGTCCGCTTGCTCAGCACGCTCTGCACCACCGAGTTCAAGGCACAGGCTGAGCAGCGGAGGCACATGCCAGCCTTGGAGAAGGCGGACGCACTCACCCGGCAGTCCGTCACGTACACTGTCCTGATCTCGGACATCACAAACTCGGACAGCACGTTCTGCACCCAGTGGTGCACCAGGTCGCCGCTGTCTCGAATGTCCGCTCCCTTCACACCCAGCACATAGCTCTTGATGTGGTTGCCCTCGGCCTGGTAGGCGGTGAGGATGTAGCAGGAGTCAGGGCCGACACTCTGGGAGTGACAGGTGACACCAATGCCCAGGCAGGCGTTGCTGCCCAAGGCACACGTCACCTTCACCTTCACCTGGTTGTACATGCGTGGCAGGTGCTTCAGCGCCAGCGTGTTGAAGTTGCCCAGGATCTCAGTGACCGAGAAGGCCCCATATCGGGCACCACTATCCACCAGCGTCTGGGCCAGTTTCAGGAACTCCTTCCCGCTTACCACGCTCAGCGCACCCAGGTCGGCACACATCACCCGCAGCAGCCGCTCTGCGATGTTCTGCCGCTCCTTCTCGGGGATCATGCTGTTGGATGTCAAACCGGTGGTCGTGGCTGGCAGGGGACACAAGGAGAGATGTGATTAACCCTGGCATTTGAGGTTCCTTAGTCTGGCAGCAGCCTGATACTCTAAGTATCTAGTATGAGCAATTCTGAACCGACTTCACTGCATAGGTCTCATGAGAATAACATTCTTTGACTGTTGACTGATTAATTAGTAATGCCTGCCAGGGGCATGGGAATAGAACATAGTGGTACATGTGCAACATACTTGCTGCATGTGCCATTCACCTAGACTTTGGAAGTCACCTGGTCTAATCTCTTCCTCCTGATAGCAATGGCCTCTAATAAAGGGATCTCGAGTGAATAAAACATGTGACGCCACCATGTCAGGCCGGAGCAGGCAAAAGAAATTGTGAGAGTGGATTCCAGTTCTGACTGTCACTAATCTGTGCTCTCCAACCACAATGGATCATTTGCCCTCCCATGAGGTCATAATTCACGACAACAAGGTCGAAGGTGTGAAAGTGCTTTGGAAGCTGTTACAGGTGGTCTTCTGTCCCCATGGGAGGCACAGGTGATGGGACGAGGGGCGGACAGAACACGCAGAGCAGGGTTTGGAGGTGCGTGGGGCGGGCCTCCAGGATGGCCCGGCTCCGGCCTGGGAGACACCTACTGTTGTTGGCGCTGTTCCTCTGGGCCTGGGGTTTCCACTTCTCCTCCACGACAGCAGGTGGCGACCGGGACTGGTTGGAGGCGATGTTGTTCTCGTTGTCCGCTGTGGGCATAACGGGGATAGTATGTCACCCTAAAGCATAAGAGGCCTGCGGACCACCAGACGAGAGCTGGAGTGTGGTGGGTGAAGGCAAACCTGGCCTCTGGGCCCGAGGCCCGGCTCCAAATCCTGGCTCCTCCTTACGCACGGATTTTACGCTTGTAAGGCCTCATTTTCATTAAGGGGAGAAGGAAGTCATCACACAGATGTTAACACAATTGCTGGCAGGACTGACGAGAGATAACATGGGAAAGAGCAGAGCACAGGGCCCAGATGGATGCAAAGCTGGAGCAAAGGCTGTCTCCCAGGGAGGGGCCCAGGCAGGCAGGAGAAAGTGGCAGTTTCTGGCAGGAGATGGAAGAAGTCGAGCCAGGTCTCGTCCCATTTCATCCTAGAATGTGCCACAGCCCCGACTACGTCATGCGTCATCTCCAGAACTCGCAGCCAGCCCGTGGAGAGCACTGGTCAGCCCTTCACAGGTGGGAAGACTCAGGCTCTGAGAAGGAAAGTGGTTCCGAGAGCTTAGAAATTAGGTGTGGCCTCTCCAAAGTCCTCAAACTGTAAATGCCAATCTGTCTGCTGCCTGGGGGTCCCCGTGCCTGAGTGGGGGTCTTGGGAGAGTCCCCACGCCTCTCCTGACTGGGGTCCTCCTTGGTGCCCTTTGAAAAGGGCCTGGAAGAAATGATCTGAGGGGACCTGCCTCGCCTATCTGTTTATCCAGCTGAAGAGGGCGGTTACCAAGAGGGTCTTCTGGATCCTGGCCTAACACTGTGACTGCAAAGCCTTGGGCCAGTACACAGCCATTTTGTGCCTCAGTTTCCTTATCTGTAAAGCGGCGCTGACGTGGACACAACTCAGTTCGAGAGTCAAGTGAGCTGATGTGTCTAAGATGCTCAGACTGCGTTCTAGCGCCAAGGAGGAGCTGCAACCATGCCTGTAGCAGCGCTACTTTGCACCAGTGGTTCCCTTCTCTGAGCCTCAGTTTCCTCATCGGTACAGTGGGATAATGTCAGCTTGCTGACGGGCCCATTCCGAAGGTCAGATGGGATAACCACACCTGGCACGGACTACTCGCTCTCTGAATGCTGGTGGTCTCAGCATCATCACTGCCAACACCGGCCCCTGGACTGTTACGAGAGGGGAGGCAGGGTTTCCCACCACACAGAGAGGGAGTTTATTAGTGGGAATTACCCTTTGCCAGTAAGCAGCCTCTTAACGAGATTGGTGTTACTCAAGGCTGATCCCCTTATCAGCAGCGCTGTGAACTGCACTGATCATGACGTTTAATTTCTCTGTATGGAGTGAATCCTTTAATCCCGACTCAGCCGCGGCTGGGCCTCCGCCTGGCTCTTTGCTGGATTGTCTCCTGCATTCTCTGCCTGCACTGGACCAGAACAAAGCAGCCCAAAACTCTTCGTGGAAAACAAGGGGAGATGCTCCAGGGAGGTGGGGCCACCAGGAGGTGCAGCCTTCATTTGCATTTTAATGGCCTCTGCCCGACTGCCTGAGGGTTGTAGAAGCCCAGGCACCCAGACTCTTCCCTAATTGGCCTCAGCCTCCTGAAGCTGGCAGAGCAGCAGGTACAGGGCTGGGGTTTTGGAGGAGGTGAGAGGGAGCTGGGTGGTGGGTGTTTCGGGCAGCGGTCCCTGAGCAGCCAGCCTTCCACCTGCTGTCACGATGCCTCATGAGGTCAAGTCTAAATGGCCCATGCTGGCATCCCAGGCCTTCCCTGGTACAGGATGATTGCTGGCAAAGGCAAGTAGGTGGTGTGATACGGGAAAAGGAATCCTCGGGTGTGAGGAGGGCAGCTGGATATGGCAGGTATACGTGCCCTTGTGTTAGTGATGGAGACGCTCAGAGCGGGGGACAAAGTTTCCCGCCCATCGTTACAGACCATGGAGGCGCACCAGAGCATGGGGCTCACGTCTCGGCTGCCAACCAACTCTGTCCTGATTTTAACAAGTCCACCGGAAATAAATGATAGGCTTCCCAAAAGCATGTGAATGGTGCCTAGTGTACATCCGACACCCAACAGATATATGCTGAACGAATGACTAAATGAATGGATGAATGAATGAGTGCAGAGAGGCTACACTAACAGAACAGCACCTGGCCTGAAAGACAGCCTAGTCCTGTACTACTCCGCCAGACCTGGAAAACTGCGTGAGGTGTGCAAACCTAAGAGAGATCTGAGCAGTAATAGTCAAAGCAGTAGGAGCAGCAGCAGCTACCATTACTAAATCACCATAGGGTCTCACACCATTCATTTCCAATGCCTCCAGGGATTACTGAGGGGGGTGCCGGGGGCAGCCAGCTGCCTCCCCCAGATTCCTGTTTCCCTTCCCTGGGTAGTGGCTCTGGGCACTTTTCCTGCCCCTGGAATTTGAGCATCTGTGACACGTGTCACTTGTCATTCGAAGCGGTAAAGAAGGAAGCATGCTTCTCTCCCTGCTCCCCAGTTACAGGGAGAGGGTTCCAAAGACCCAGGGGAGGGTGGAGCCACGCCAGGAAGGAGCCCGAGTCCCTGATTCGTCCTGCGGAAGGGCCACCCAGCTGGGCCACTCGGAGTGCTAGGCGGATGTGACTGAGAAATCTGTGTTTACAGTAAACACTGGGAACTGGGCATTCATCTGTTACAGCAAATGGCGTCTCCTTGGCTAACACATAAATGAGACTAGCAGGGGAGTGCTACTGTGACGAAACCCCAAAATCAGAGGTATCAGTTTGAAGGCAGAGTGGTCCAGAGTGAGGGCGTTAACACTGCAAGCTGAACAGATGGCAAAACAGGCAGAGAAAGGCGGTCTGGACAGCAGGCTACTCTCTCCAGCTCCACAGCGGCGGCTCTCCAAGCCTGGTCCCGGGGCTAGAGCAGCGGCACAGCTGAGGACTCCTCAGAAAAGCAAGTCCTCGGTCCCGCCACCCTAGCCCAGACGTACAGCATCCAAAAGCCCAGCCGGGGCGTAGACACCTGTGCATTCCCCAGCCCTCCTGGCTGGTGACTGACTGTGCCGAGACGGGGCGCAGGCCCCAGCTGCCCCAGCTCAGGCCTCCCCTGCTTGCTTCTCCTGCCTCTGCTTACCCCGATTTCAAACCACTCTCAGTGTGCCCCTTCGTGTCTCTTTCCTGGTCAGCTCCTATTTGGGCTTTCGGCTCAGGCCAGGAGCCATGACCTTCCAGAACCCTTCTTCAGCTCTGTGCTCCCCTTGAGGCTGCTGTGCCCCCAGAGAACACACAGCCCCCCACCTTGTGTTATAATGGATTGACTGGGGCTCCCTGAGGGCAGATCCCATGTCCCATGACCCTTTCCTGGGAAGGAGTGGCCTTCCCTGGGTCCCTCAGGCTGGCTCTGCCACCTCTGCCTTTGCAGGGCTGAGGCGGGGCGGGCTGCCGGCTCTCACCTGCGTGGGACTGCATGTGCTCCAGCAGGTTGTTGTAGAACTGGAACTGGATCCCGCAGGCGCCACACGTGTAGGGTTCTGCAGGGAGAGAGGAAGTCGCCGTTTGAGGGGCGGAATGACCCCGGATGCCTTCCCTGCTGGGCTGTGGGCAGATTTGGAACTGGGAACCCACACATACACTGGGGCGCTGGGCCCAGCCTGACCTGCCCCTGTCCCTAACTAAGTGAAGGGGAGGCTTGGGGCAGGACGGATCGATGGAGAGAAGGGGCCGTGCAGATACAGAGACTGTCTAACGCAGTCAGGCAGCCATTTATTGAGTGCTTACTGTGTGCCAGGCACTGTTCTGGGCACTGGGGATGGGCTGGAGGAGGGACCGGGCGCTCCCTTGGGCAGAGACCGTGTCTTACGGGTTCCACAGCCCATCTGTCTGCCTGTGGAAGCACACGGACGTCACTGTTTGCTGAGGGAACCAATGAATGGATGAATGAACCAAAAACAAGGCAGTGGACGCAGAGGAAAGGCAAGGAAGAAGAAATGAGAAATGAGACCACAGAGTCAGAGCTGGATAAAGCCACAGAAAGCAAGAGGCGGGGTAAGATGCAGAGAAGAGGAGACGCAGAGGGGGGAGGGAAGGGAGGGTCAGAGGGTATAGGAACAAGAGCGAGCATGCCCCTGGGCCTTTACCTCTCGTCTCTGTCCCCAGTTCGTAAGTGAGTGCCCAGCAGAGACGAGGGAGGAAGAAGAGGGGTGCACAGGAGAAAAAGGTAGAGAGAGGAAGAGGATGGCTGACACAGGGCTCAGAGGCAGTATCCTGAGGCTGCTGTGGCGAGCAGGAACCGGGAGGTCTGTGTTCCTGCCAGGGCCAAGGGCAGAGGCAGGCTGCCACTGTCGGGGCCCTGCCTCCTCCCCCATCCACACTCCTCCACCCACCAGCGCCGGACCCTCCTCCTGCCCTGCCTGCCTGGGAGGGCAGCCCAAGGTCAGAGGCTCCGGGGAGGCCCTGAGAGCGTGTGGCCACTGCGTCCACTCCCTGCCCTGCCTCGCCCTCTCCAGCCCCCCCAGCGGGACCATCACTTACTCTGTAGGAGAGGGAAAGTATTGGAAATCAGGGGACTTGCAGTTTCTGCAAAAGAGAAACAGTTTAGCTAAGCCTCGTCCAGTTCTGGTGCTCTGAGATGACCTTCACTACTTCCGTGTTTAAGTAAGTGGTGAGTGAGACGGACCCTCTGAGGGTGGGGGCACCTGAGCCAGACTCATAACTTGGGTGGGCCTGGGACACTGGGCTGGGCAAGATCAGCCGGGGCCACCCCTCTAGGACACACTCACCTCTCAAAACCTGAGCCCACAGAGTCTAATGAGAAATGGCCACGTGGGGAGGGGGCTGCCTGCTTCAGGACAGGAAGCTGCTTCTAGGTCCTGGTACTGAACGGGAGCGTCTGGCGGAGGGCAGCCACAGTGAGGGCTGTGCCTGCTGGGACTCGCCCCAGGCCTCCTGGTGTAGTTGGGGAGCCTCAGCAGGAGGCAGCAGAGTGGGGCTGGATGCATGAGGCTGGAATTCTGGCTCCACCATGTACTGGGGACCTGGGCCCACTCTGCTGCTCCTGAGCCCATTTTCTCATCCAAAAAATAAGCATAACACTGACCCAACCCTCCTCCCGGGGCTGGGTAAAAATGAAAACGGAGAAGACACAGACAGCTCTGAACACATGCAAGGCACATAGTAAGCGCTCAGTAAGTGGCAGCTGCCCCGGACACTGTGGGTTCCCAATTCCGAGTATCAGCTCTGGGGGAAGGGGAGGCAGGGGTGCGGCCTGGCCGGCTGGGCAAGGTCTCCCGGAGACCGCAGTTCCAGTCCTGACCCTGCTTGTTCCCGTGTGGCCTAGGGCAAAACTCCTCTTGGAGATGCTGTTGGATTACATTTTTCAAAAGCGTGAAGGAGTGTGGAAAAGTCAGTGTGCTCTCAACGGTTCAGGGGATCGTGTCAACTTTCTTGGGGCTCCCATAGTGTACCTCACTACCTTGCTCGGGGCATCATCAAACCACTTGATTTACTTAAAAGAAAAAAGAAGCACCCCACCATGTGAGTGGGGACGGAATCTGTGCAGGATGCTGATGAACATTTCAGCGGCGCAGGGCCAGGTCCCCTGCTCCCGCCTCGCAGCGGAGGAGCAATGAGAAGGCTGGTCCAGGGCGCCGGCTCCCAGGTGGCGGAGGTGGGAGCCTCGGCTGCAGGTGGAAGCTGCAGCTCAGTTCCTCGCACAGAAGCCTCCCCATTCAGGTTTGTGCTCCCAACTGTTGCAGAAACCCCCTGATGGACATTCAAGCTGTGTCCATCACTTGTCTAGACCCAAACAGGGCCCAGGATACCCACAAGCTGAAACCCACTATGATGAATGAAACTTCGACTATGTAAGAGTGTGTGTGTTACTCTAATATGACCAGTGTCAGAATTCTTTTCCCTTCCTGCCCTGGCTGTCACTGTGCAGATCACCTTGCTGTGCCTTTCTTGGACAGAGGTTGCTGGTGACCACCTATGGACCCACCAGGCTGATCTAGCTGTTTGGGGAAGTGGCATTTGGCTGCTCTTGTTCTAAGGCACTTTCAGCCCTGCCCGGGTCATGGGAAGGCAGCCACCAGGGGGCGCCAAAACACTGCCACGAACCTCAGGCAAACCTTGGGCTGGTGGAAGCTAGAAGGGTATATATATATACACCTTTGGACGGCTCCTGGTGCAAAGTGGGGGCAGACCTCGGGGGCTCAGGGCCTCAGGATATTAGGTCACAGCTCTCTCTACTGAACCCCCATTGTCCCTCCTGGAACAAAACAACCTACAATATTTACCCTAAAAACATAGAAATGGCTCTTCTGGGCCCAACCCTCTGGGGCCACGTGAGATGTTGCAGACTATGGGGGAAGGGGAGCTCCTGTCTCTGTGGGGAAGAGACAAGGAGGGGCTACAGTCCCCGACTGGCCCCTGAGGCCCAGAGGGATGTCCCTGGAAGAAAAGGCCCCTGGGCTTCTGCCTGGCCCTGGCCTCCTCTCAGCACCACCACCGTGCCTCTCGGAGACCCCAACCCACAGAGCACCTGCTGCCACCGCTGTGGGTGGGAGCAGATGGTGACAGCGGCCTCTCCGCACAGGACATCTGCCACAGGGCACACTCACCGCTGGAGTTTTGGGAACTGCTATTCGTCTCTTCAAAGTGGTTTTGTGCTTTGCTTTCTACTCTCCGACTGAAAGCGCTTTCTGCTGGTTGGGGACAGGAGAGAGCGAGAGAAAAATGATGGTGACGGACCAGCACCAGGTCCAAAGAGGGGGCAGCATGCCAGAGGCGGCTCAGAGGCTGAGGCACCTGGGTGCTGCTCAGCCTCTGGTCTGGGGAGGGCCAGGGCCCCAAAGCAAGACTCCCAGCTCCTCAAGCTCAGCGGAGTTGCCTGACACCTTGTTAGGGCCCCAGGAGACCCCCGGACAGTGCCCAAAGGGGGCGGAGGACCAGGCATGGGGGGATGGATGTGTGGGTGACCTGTCCAGGAGCACACAGATGAAGTCCAGCCAAGAGAGCAGGTGGAACATGGGCCTGGGTCACCCACCGCTGGCCCCTGGGGAGCCACACTGGTGACACCGAGGAATTCAGACCTGCCCCCCACTAGTCCCCATGCCCGATTCTTCTCTCTTAGCCCCGCAATGGAGCAGGCAGGGTGACAGACTGTCTCCTGGCAGAGTGGGTGGGCCGGACAGCTAGCCCACCTCCACATGCCAAGTGGTCCCTGGATGGCAAGGAGGCACCCTGGAGAGAAGGCGAGCCAGGCAGAGCAGGGGCAGCCCCACGCCCCGGGAGGCCAGAGACCAGGTGAGGTCTGATCGGGTTCAGGGAAAGGGACGAGCTCCTGAGTGATTTGTTGGGCACCTCCGCTCACAGGCGGCGCCCTCCTTAGTGACTCACCCTCTCCCAGGCACTGTCCAGAAACCGTGGAGCCCAGAGACGGTGCCCAACCGCCCGACTGGTAGAAAAACACCCATTTAGTGCCCGCCCCTCCCCGAGCCGCAGGAGGTGCTGAGACAGAACATCCACGCTAGAAGGGGACTCGGCTTTTCCGAGCAGCTTGTGCCACAACTGGAGGGCTCTGGATGCCCCAGGAGAAAAAGACACGGGGAACAAGCCACTTTGGGGAGAGCAGCTGACCCAGCCCCCTCGTTAAGGAGAAACAACTTGCAGGAGGGCGTCAAAGGCCCTGAGAAGTTCGACGGAAGAGAGACCCATTTTGCTTCTTTTAACCTGGCCTTCCCGAATGAATGCAGCCACCGAAGCCTATTTTTTCATGATCAGATTCCTTAATATCCCTTGAAAAATGGCGATTTCAGGAACTCAATTTGGGAAATGTCACTGTCGCCTAGTCTACCACCCGCGGCAGCAGGGCAAGCCCTTCCACTGTGGGGGCTGGGCTCTGGGCGGTCACTGGGGTGGTGGGACAGGACACCAGAGGGGCTCCCACTGGTCCTGCTCAGAGCCCCGCCCCCTGCCCAGCCACGCCTCCTGTTACCGCCTTCTTTTAACGAAGGCTGCCCACACCACCCAGAGGATGACCCTCTCTTCCAAATGTGACTACAGAGCCCCTGGGCTGAGGGCTGCACGTTTGCTGCCTCCAAGGAGTCATCTTTAAATTGGCCTGGGGAACAGGTGGGGCGCTCATTTACTGAGCACCTACTACGTGCCAGGCACTGATCCGGACGCCTTGTACCCACGTTCTCCCTTAATCCTCCCAATAGCTCTGAGGTCCATGTTGTCACTTCCGCTTTACAGATGGAAAAAAGAAAGAAGAAAGTGGGGTTGGCAGGCTCCTGGGGCTGAACATGCTGTAACCCTCTAAGGCGGCACAAGGAGGAGACTTCGTTCTGGAGGCAGACGCTTCCTTTTCCCAAGCGAATCCTTTCTCCACCTTGATCCTTGTGTGTGCAGGGAAAGGCTGGCCCCGCTGAGGAGGGTTTTCGTGCAGCCTAACCAACTAACTGGTGGTTGGGCAACCAAGGTTATAATTAGTTTCTTGTTACTCAGTTCCTAATGCGAATTTTCAACAGCTCTCCCCGCCACAGGCACGGCACCTCTGGCCGCAAAGCAGTGGGGCTGCGCCGCAGGCCCGCACACCCACACAGGAAGGGCTGCCTGTCCCAGCACGAGGAAGGTGGTGACGACGGGCAGCTCCACCGTGCAGGTTCCTGCTTGCAACCTGATAAGCCCAGGTGTGAGCCCCCAGCCCCAAGTCTTCCAGGTCCCATAAAGGCAGCTAGAAGCAAGTCCTGTGGCTTGCTGGATGCTTACTTGGGGACACTGAGGTCCAAGAGCTGACACAGGCCACACAGCCCCTTCCAGGCAGGTCCCTGCAGAAACTACAGATGTTAAGACTCTCAGAAGGACAGGAGTAAAAAGCAGCATCTGAAAGCCATGAGCCCATTATTTAGTTGAGCCTACATCGACCACCAGTGAGCCCATGAGGATGAGTGGTCCGTTTCTAGAAAAATCTAAAGGCTATTGGCTCTTTTCAATGCAGTACCTAGAAATCCATTACGGTCAAGGTTTGGCCCTTACTCTCCTTCTGGGACAGCTAAGCATAATAAGCTCATCTTCAACATTTTCAAGAACCACATCCTTGTCCAACAGTGTCCCCCTGAACCACAGAGTAACGGCAGACACAAGTAGTCCCTTGGCTGTGTCACCAGCCCAGTCGACCGGTTCACTGAACTTGGTTTGATCACCTGGACGTTTAATGGAGGGCTGCAGGCCTCCTGAGAGCAACGGAAAGGCCCAGGGCTCCAGAAGGACCCCATCAACACGCTATCCTATGCTACCCCACATCCAGGCGTGCAGCCCAAGGCTTGCTCCATCCAGGCAGGAATCAGGGTTCCTGATAACTGGTACTCAGCACACGATGCGTCTTATTGGTTTTCCTGGGAGAAATGGGGTGTGAACCTATGACTGCCTGTTCACCCTTCCGGGGTGTGAGCCCCTCTCTGCATGGACGCGGACACACGGGAGCTTGCAGCTGCTGGCTTCCTGCTGGGCTATGGCTCATGGAGCGATTTCACGGGCAGTGCTTGGAAGAGGGAGGCTGAGAGAGCAGAGCTCCAGGTCAGCCACTCTGCTTCAAAGAGAACAGCTCTTTGTAGAAATGTGTTTTTAGAGTCGGGGGATGCAAACTCATGCCACGGGGTAGGGGGGGTCCAGGCAGGGGACATAAATAGATGAACTGGCTGGATGTGAGACAGACAACAGTTGTGATCACGATGAAAAATGACACCTGCCACGTGGCTACTGTGTTGGGTAGGCAGGAGGGAGTGGTGGGGACTGTGGAAAACTGGAGAGCACATGCTCTATGGAAGGAGGTAGCTGTGGCTCAGCCCCAAGCCGATTGTTGCCCTGCAGGAACGTGGGCCCCGAACTGCCAGATCTGACTTGTCAATGTTTGCTAGAATCAAGTCTTACATAAAATCTCCTAAGGTTCAAATGTTGGCAAGTAATTAAAAAAAATTTCTGAAAACACCATAGGCCATAACTTGGGAAGAAATAGTCTCCTGTTTAAAAAAAAGTTTGCAAACCATCTTGTGCAGCCCTCTGATTTAGGATGAGAAAACTTAAACTCAGAGAGGTTAGGTAACTTGTCACGGTCACAGGGCCAGCCAGAGGCACAGCTCGGACCCAGATTTGCCCCTGGAGAACTAGGGGACCCCCACTCTTGCTCTTGCAAGGGAACAATGACCCTGGGCACAGCTGTGGCAGGCGGGTGGAGGGCGGGGAGCAGAGGAACCGTGGGGTGACACAGGCCATCGGTACCTGCAGTCGCCTTGCTTGCCGGAGATCCCGAATTCGGAGTGCGGAACGTCTGGGTTTGGGTGGCTGGAGGGGTGCGGTGTAAGAGGGTGGAGCATCGGACCACGGAGGCCGACGCCTTTTTTCCCGACTGGTTCGTCTGGGTCTTCGCGGCCACGAAGCGTGGAGTCGGGGAGACCTCCGGATGTGAACACTCAGAGCCCGTGTCTGGATCGTCCGGTGGCTCCCACCCGGGGGCAGTACCTGAGAGGGTCACGCTCTCAGTCCCCAAGAGCCCTGGGGGCTGGCCAAGGAAGTGGCCTCTCGTGCCACAGATCCCCCTGCTCGAGGGTTGAAACCTCTCCTCGGTCCACAGAAAAAGTCTGGGAGCCTGGGACCTTTCCCAGCTTCTCCTCCAGGGAAGCCCATCCCACATGTTCACCTCCCATTGGCCCTGAGGGGGAAAGGCAGACAGGGGTGCAGAGGCTCAGAGGGGTACAGGCACCCCTCCAGGGGCACACAGCCAGGATGGACTTCCCAGGCTCCTAACTCATTTTATTCCATAGTTTGCACCATCTGCTGGCTGCCTCACAGGGAACGTTATCAGACTAGCACTCCCATTGAGCTTTCACCAAGAAGGAAGAGTTTCAGACAGACCTGCTGATTGCTCTTATAAGAAAAAAAAAAGAGAGAGATTGATTTACGCATAAGAGATATCTAAAAATAAGAGAACATAGTGGTCCCTCCTTTCTGTAAAGTTCAAAGTTTATCTGAAGCAAAAATTCAGAGAATATAAGGATTCACAAAAGAGTAACCATGCCACCAAGAGGGAGAAGAGAGGCAGGGTCGGGGGGCCTCCCTGAAACCTTTACTGGGTGGGAGGGGCAGAGCGAGTTTGCAGCACACGAGAACAGCTTACTCCAAGGCTGGTGGAGATGAATGGGAGACAAGATGCAAGAGTGTGTGGGAAACCCTCCTCGTGGATTTTAGTTTCAGGAAGAGAAGTGGAGACTTTACACTTCAGGCCACGATGGAGCAACCGGTGTAGGACTAACTCGCCTCCAAATTCAACTGTAAAGCTGGACAAAATACCCGAAACGACAGTTTTCAGGCCCCGAGCAGAAGGAGGTGCGGGACTATGCATCATAAAAGAAGACCTCCTGCGACCTCCATGACCACTCCTGCTCTCTGCCTGGAGAGGCGTTGTGGGCCACGGCCCACAGGTGAAGCGTGATGGAAGCCCTGTAACCGCCCTGAACCGAGGCGGCAGTGATCAGAGGTCAGGGCTTCTAAGCTGGCCAGAAGTTGCGGGGCAGAATAACAAAGGAGCGAGAATCAGACAAAAAAACAAAATAAAACAAAAAAAACCACACCGCCAACAAACAACCCCTCCAGAAATGTGCAGAGGCACCCCCTGCACAAACTGCTGTGTGCAGAGAGCCACTGCACAGCCGGGCTGCCCACAGCTACTGGGGGCTGTGAGCTCTCGGAGTTCAGAGGCTGCACGAGGTCAGAGGGTGCGTGAGTTCCTTCTTGCCAGAGAGGAGGTGCTGCTGAGGAACCTGGGCACTCAGCGCACCCAAAAGGGCCCAGTCTTAGGAGGATTATTTTAACCCTAGCATGGAGACGGCAGCAGCGCACCCGTACCCGCAGGGGACACATTCCAGGACCCCTAGTGGACAGCGCCGAATCTTAGATATACTATTTCTTTTGCTATGTGTAACATATTTGTGATAAATTTTAATGTTTGAATGAGGCACACTAAGAGATCAGCCACAAGAACAATAAAACAGAACAGCGGTCGCAGGACACTGTAATAAAGTCTATGTGAGCGCACGCAGGGCCATTACTAAAACAAGCTGATCTGGAACACAAGCCCTGTGACAATGTGACGGTCAATCCAATAGCTGAGAAGGCTGCTAAGGGCTGGACAGTCACATGGCACGAACGAGCTGGGCCAAGGAGGGGTCCACTCTCTGGGAGGGACGGGGCAGGACGGCGCGGGGTCCCATCACGTTCCTCAGAACCCCGCACAACCTCAAACACAGTGATTAATTACTCATTTCTGGAATCTTCCATTTGCTATTTCCTTTTTAAAAATGATATTTATTTATTTATTTAATTTTTTTTTTTAGAGAGAGGGGAAGGGAGGGAGAAAGGGTGAAAGAGAAACATCAATGTGCAAGAGAAACCTCCATCAGTTGCCTCTTGCATGCCCTGGCCGGAATCGAATTGGAGACCTTTTGGTCCACAGGCTGGTGCTCAGTCCACTGAGCCACACCAGCCAGAGCATTATTTAATATTTTTATGCCATGATTGACTGTGGGTAACTAAAACTGTGGAAAGTTAAACTGTGCATCAGAAGGGGCTCCTGTACTCCATACCTGCACCAACATAGCTTAAAAACAAGCCTTTGAAATATCAAGGAAATGTATTCACTGCCTGCCAGAACAAAATTCAACAGTTTTCAAAGAAAGATCACAAAACCCAGGCACTCAACAACACAGCACAGAATAAGTACAAATACTCATCCAGTGAAGCAGGAAAATGTGAGTAATACTCAAGAGGGGAGAAAAAGTGAACAGAAACGTATGGAAATGATGACAGGGATAATGGAATTTGCAGACGAGAATCTTAAAGCAGCTACTGATATATATGTGTGTGTGTGTGTGTGTGTGTGTGTGTATACGCTCGAAGATTTAAAGGATAACATGAACATAATGACGAGAGAAATGATGTAAAAAGGAACCAGGTGCAAGTTACGGAAATAAAAAATATGACGGTGGAAATGAAAGATTCACTTGAAGGATATCACTCATGAAAAAATTAAGACACCGTAGGAGGAGAGACCAGTGAACTTGCGGACGGGCCGCCTGAAACAATCCACAGTGAAACACAGAGGAAACGAGGCCGAGACCCTGGACAGAGCTCCAGCTGACCGTGGCAGCACCCAACCGTCTGACCTCCATACAAATGAAGTCTCACTAGGAAAGAGAAACTGGGAGAAGACAAATATTCACAGAAATACTGATGGGACGTTTTCCTTGATGAAAAACATAAACCCACGGACCCAAGAAGCTCAAGGAACCTCATGCAAGATAAACCCAAAGAAAACTGTACGCCCATCGTCAAAAACCAGTAACACATAAAAAATATTTAAAATAATCCAGAGGGAATGGTATATTCGGTATAGAGTAACAATCAGAATGATCTCTGACTTCTCACGAGACACAGCGGACACAGCATATAAACGAATGACATGGGTAAGGTGCTGGAAAAAAGTCTCGACCCAGAATTTCCATTCCACAGAAGATATCCTTCAAAAGGTAAAATGATCACATCTTCAGTTAAGAATATCTGTCACCAAGAGACCTACAACGTAAGCAATATTACAGAAAGTTCTTCAGGGAATAAAGGAAAATGATAATAGAGGACATTAAGGTTTATACAAAGAAAATAGTAAGTATGTGAGTAAATATAAAAAGCATTTTAGCATTTCTTAATTACTGTAACAAATAATTGACCGCTGAAAGCCAAAAAGAGTAACTGCTGGGTCTGCACCTTAGACTTCCACGTGTGGTCTGGGTGTGACGCACGTGCGTGGCAGAGGACCAAGTGCTCGGACGTAGGAACAGCGGGAGGGGCAGGAGGGCAGCGGTGGCAGTTCACGGCCAGAAGGCTCTCACATTACGTGCAGTGTGCTATATAAATTCACGGCAGATGGTAACACATGAAGATACATATTATATACCACAGAGCAACCACTAAAGAAAGAGAGGTATTGGTATAAAGCTAATAGAGGAAAAATTTAAAGCTTTTGATGAACATTAAAGAAGGCAAGCCCAAAAAAAAGGAACAAGAAGAAATGAAGCAAACAGAAATGCGACAAGATAGTAAACTTAAATCCAACCATATCCCAAAATATATTAAATGTAAAGAGATTAAATGCTTCATTTAAAAGGCACGGATTGCCCTGGCTGGTGTGGCTCCATGGGTTGGGCATCATCCTGCAAACTGAAAGGTTGCAGGTTCGATTCCTGGTCAGCGCTCATGGCTGGGTTGGGGGCCAGGTTCCCGGTTGAGGGTGTACAAGAGGCAACCCATCGATGTTCCTCTCCTTCTTGTTCTCCCTCCCTTCCCATTTCTCTAAAAAATAAAATAAGTAAATAAATAAATTATTTTTAAAAGAATCTTTAAAAGGCAGGGATTGCCTTTTTAGGGTAAAGGAGTAGGAATCAGCTACATGGATGCACTTCAAGTATAAAAACACATATAGATCGAATGAAAAGAGATATACCATGCAAACACTAACCCTAAGACAGCTGCAGTGGCTATGTTAATATCAGATAATGTAGATTTCAGACAGTGGGTATCACCCGATATATAAATAAAGGGCACTGCGCAATTTTTAAAGATCAATTCACCAAGACATAATGATCCCAAGTGTGGACACCTAAAAACTAAAGCTACAAAATACACGAATCAGAACCTAGCAGAACTGAAGGGAGAAAGAGCAAATCCACAATTAAAGTTGTGGATTTTACCACTCCTCTCTCAGCACTTGACAGAACAAGCCTTTTTCTTTCAAAGCCTGAAAAGGTGAAGAGACTTGAACAGTATTATCAGTCGATGTGACCTGACGCTCCACTCAGGGAATTCTCTCTTCGACTCCTTCTGTAAGGCCAGCATTACCCTGACAGCCAAATTAGACAGGGACAGTACATGCGAAGAAAAGTGTACTGCCGGTCGGAATGTAAAATGGCGTAACTGCTTTGGAAAACAATTTGGCTACTTCTTACAAGTTAAACCCGCCTACCACGTGATCCAGCCACGCCACTCCTAGGCATTTATTTACCCAGGAGAAATGGAAGGACTGGTCCATGCAAAGGCTTACACTGAGGTGCTCACAGCAGCTGTGTTTGTATCAGCTCCAAACTGGAACAACCCAAACGTCCATCCCTACGTGAGCACAGGAAATTGCGCTATCCACACAGTCGGTCCTCAAATAATGTAATTTCACTCAATGTTATTTCATTATAACATTGATCAGATGTAGGCACTTAACTCTTGTTGCATCAATTAGCCTATGGTAAAACTGGTTTTGTTTTATGCAGTTTCGCTGAAAATTACAGAACCTATGGACGTGTAGACATGAGGACTTACTGTATGCAGACACCAGAATACTACTCCCTATCAGTGAATAGGAAGTGACACATGCAAACACGGAAGAATCTTACAACTGTGGTGAGTGAGAGAAGCCAGATACCCCCCCACCAATAAAAGAGTGCGTACTGTAAGGTTCCATTCATGCGACATTCCAGAAAATGCAAAGGAATCTATAGTGATAGGAAGCAGATCAGAGCTCACCTGTGGAGGGGGACGTGGAGAGCCAGGAATTAGGAAAGGGCATAAGGCAACTTTTCAGAGTGACAAGTGTGTCCATACTCTCGATTGTAATGATGGTTTTGTGGGTGCACATTGGTCAAAACTTACCAAACTGTACACTTTAAATACAGGCACTTTATTACATAACAATACACCTCAATAAAAGTGTTTTAAAGACTTCACCAGAAATATTTATTTTTTTGCTTATGACCATCATTAACAAACCACTGACTGAGTATGAAGCCCTCTGCTAATCCCAGTTCTCCAGTTCCGAAAGGGTCTTTGGGAGTGATTAAAATCCAGGTAAAATTCTAGGGAATTTCAAATAAAGTAATTTAGATACCTGCTCAAGAAAAAGAAGCTTCAAAGAAAGAAGTCATTTTTCTGACAAAAAAAGAAATATCCCAACATTGTAAGCTTCTTCAGTTTGACTTAGTCTTAATGTGTTTTAATAAAGTACAGGCATAGTGACTTATTAAGGAAACAAAAATAAATCCATGTAACTCACATTATCAGAATAAAAGGTAAGAATCACAGAAGCACCTCAATGGATGCAGCAAAAAACATGTACACCAACTGGTAATAAAAACTTTCAGTAGACGAGGAACAGAAGGGAACTTCCTCAACTGACGAAAAGCGCCTGTGAAAACCTACTTCAGCTAACGCGGTGCGGAATGACGCAGACCTGAGCCCCACCTGGGGAACGAGGCGGAGATGGCCACTCCTCTCATCTATGCAACACTGTGCCGGGGGATTCCAATCAGCACAGGTAGGAAGAAAAAGTCATGAGAATACAGCTTGGAAAGAAATGAAGCTGTCTTGACCAGTAGATGGCATCAGTATGTACAAGGAAAATCCTAACAATCTACAAAAAAAAACCCTTTCGGAACTGAAAAGTGAATCTAGCAAAGCTGCAAGTTACAAATTCAATATTCAAAAACCATGTTTACATGTACAACAACAACTGGGAAATAAAAAGTCACAGTAACCTTACAAACCATGAAATGCTTAGAAGTAATATAATCAAATATGTGCAAGACCTCTGTGCTGAGAAGTAGCAACTACTGCTGACAGAAATAAGAAGGCATAAATACTTAGATATACCATGTTCATGGATTGGAAAACATAATATTATTATGTCTATTCTCCCCAGAATGGTCTACTGATTCAGTGTAATCCTAAACAAAATCCCAGTTAGATATCTCGTAGACAGTGGCAGGAGACTGACTAACATTATAAAGAAAAAACTAAGTTCTTGGAACAAATACTCTTTTAAAAGGACAGAAACCCAGACAGTGCCTGAGTTAAGACTTACTATCAAACTATAGCAAATGAGACCACAGACAAAGAAATCAATGGGACAGAAATAAACTCACTTACTTATATATTCAATTGATTTTGAAGAAAGGTCCCAATGCAACATAATGAGGAAAAGGCAATCTTTTCAACAAGCAATGTTGGAACAACTAGATATCCATATGGAATAAAATGGATCTCAACTCATACCTCCCATCAACTCATAACTTGAAGTGGATCACAGACCTAAATGCAAAAGCTGAATTTACAAAGCTTCTAACAGATAATAAAGGAGAGTATCTTCGCCACCTTGAGGCAGGCAAGAATATCCTAGGTAAGACCCAGAAAGCACCAACCGTAGGGAAAAAATAATACACTAGATGTCATCAAAATGAAAGACTGTTCACCAAAAAAAAAGACACTGTAAGAAAGTCAACAGGCATGTGGAAGACTGGGAGAAAATATTTATAATATATGTATCTGGTAAAGGACCTGGATCTAGAATATATAAAGAACTTCTGCAACTTAATAATAAAAAGACAAACCACCCAAACAAAAAATGGGCAAAAGATGTGAAAAGTTTCCAAAGCAAAAGAAACAAATGACCAATAAACAAACGGAACTGTTCAACATCATTCGTCATTGGGGAAACACAAATGAACGTGAGATACCACTGCGCACTCCCCAGAATAACCAGAACTTGATAGCCCACTGCTGCCAAATGCTGGCAAGAACGTGGAATCTGTGACTGGTGGGAGGGGGGAATAGTCTCCCCTAGGACCCAGCAATTCCACTCCTTGGTATTGATCCAAGAGAAATGAACACGTAGTCCACAAAGAGCCTTGTACAAGCATTTTCATAGCAGTTTCATTCACAACAGCCTAAAACTGGAAACAACTCATATTAACGAGCAAATGGACAAACAAACCGGTATTTTTTCATACAATGGCTCAGTAGTCAAAATGAATGAGTAACTGATACACATATGACGACATGTACGAATCTCAACATTTTGCTGGTGGAAGCAGCCGGACACAAAGGAGCACATACTACGACTCCATCTGTAAGACCTTCTGCAGGCAGCCTAGGTCCCCCTGGACATTCTCACCGGACTGGGTTTCTCCAGGCCTGGCCCTGGGTACCACGGGAAGCTGTCAGATCTAGCCCCTAATTCCACACAGAATGCATGGACTTACAAATCTCTGGATACAAAGGCCACTGGAGGGGCCATTGGTCAACCTTGGAGAACCAGTCCTCTTTTGGATCTGGACTAAATCTCTCATGTTGTAATTTAAACTTAGCTGATCCTAGAGCCCTCAGACTTTAGTGAATAAGAGAGAAGGAAGATTTACTCAACAGACAGATGCAGACAGACACAGAAGAGTCGGTAACAGAGAGAAAAAGAGAACGAGGAACATAGAAACAGTGGACAGCCCTTCAGGAGAAAGCACCTAGATGTTAAGGGAGAAACCAGGGGGCATGCAATGCAGCCCCTTGTGCTGTCCCATCTGACATGATGCTGGACAGCTTCGCGGTTAAGAGAATGGCCCTGGAGCTTGCCTGTGAAGGTTCAAAGCCAAGCTCCCCCTCTTATTGACTCCGTGACTGTACTCAACTAGTTTCAGAAGTTTGGGAGAAGAGCGGAAGCAGCACTGAAGGCACCCCCCAAAGGCTGAAACCATGGTTGCACGCTGGCCTTGTAACTAACACCGAAGTGCGTTCTGGGGAGCATCCTCTTCAGGCAGCAGGAGAGATGCCCACGCACAGCTGCCAGTCCCAGCCCATGGAGGGAGGAATCCCCAGAGGGTCCAGGCCATGGAGATCAAGCCCTGCCACAGCCCTGATGACTCAGCTGCAGCACCATTAGTGGGTCAAGTGGATGGGTCATGCCCACCTAGGAGAAACTGTGCCCTCCCCCGACTGCCCTGCCACCTGAACATGTGGTGGGAACTGGATGACCCTGTACATCCCCAGCCTCAGTGGCAGGACGGGTCCTCCTCTGGTCTGGCCACACTAGAGGGTTTGGAGATGCCCAGAATCCAGACCCCTGGCCTGGAAAGACCTCAAGAACTTGCACAGATGGGAAACCCGGCAGGTAACTCACCAGTCAGAGGCTGGGTAGGACAAGAAGCCTAACTCAGTTACAGACCTTAGACCAAGCTCTGGTCCATGGGAGACCTCCAGCCTCTGCTGCTCTGCCCAGCAGGGGGAACTTCCTGGGGAAGCTGCCTGCACTGTCCCTCTAAGCTCTGGACACCTTCCTGCCCACCCAAATGCCACTGGGCAGGGAGTGCCACGTGCCTGTATTATTTGCAGGGCTTCCAAAGGGTCTCAGGCCTCCCAGACTATAGGCATCTTAACCCCCTGCCGACCTTGCATAGCTCCTTCCTGTCTCTGGACCCAAGTCTCCCAATCCAGAGTGTGGAGTGGGGTCCACACAGCTCCACCCACAGAAACAAAAGCAGGGGTACTCCCACATCTACTCCTAATCATCAGCTCTGCCAAGGTGGTTAAGTCCCGCCCCTGTCAGGACCCTGGTTGAGGACTGAGGGCCTCCCTAACTCATCGTATACTTGGGATTGAAGGGTGGAGCCTGCTCCAACATCCAGAAGTGGAGCTGGGAAATCAGGAGGATGGAAGGCCACTGTGTCCCTGTGGGAAGGGTCCTTAGAACCTTTTCCCTTCTGGGTCAGGACAGGAGGGAGAGACTGGGGTCCAGAAACAAGGCAGGGCCTGCCCAAGGTCACATGCAAGCCCATGACCTCACTGGGATTAACACCCGGGGCTCTGAGTCCCGATTCAGCACTCCTTCTAGCTTCTTACCCTTTCCACCACTAAAGGCAAAGAGGGAGCTTGCCTGTCCACTTGGCCATCCCTTACTTGGATTAGGCTGTGCATGGGTTCAGACTGAGGCTGCATCCCACGATGCTAGCTCTGGGGGTGAGGATTCAGGAGCATGATTCGGAGGTGCTTAGAGGAGGTGGGGACAGGACCACTGAAGGACTTGGGTGAGTGGTGCCCACGCTCTGAGTCCACTGAGGGAAGACTCAGTCTTTACTGGCTTAAGGGTGGGGCTTTCCCATCTATTCTAGCTACTGGAGTAAAGGTGAGCTCCCCCACAACCCCCACCGTCACGACTGGCTATGAGACCAGCCCAAACCAAGATCACCTTTATTTTTACCCTCCCCTAGCAACACCCCAGAGCCTGGGCCTGTGGCAGGCCCACCCCTTCCCCCAACAACAAAAGGTACTCACTGATGGGGGCGTGTAAGGCCACGTGCTCCTGGTAGGGCGTGTAGTACTTGTACTGCTTTCCGCAGAATTCACAGGTGTAATTGCCGGTTTCTGTCCAAGGAGGAAAAGAAAGTGTGGGACTAGGCGCCCAGCTCCCATCCAGAAGCAGCAGCGTGCTCCCTCCCCGCAAACTCCTTCTCATTCTGGGACAACAAACTAGAATCGGGAGCCCACCTGAGTCAACTACTACTTGAGTTCAATTCCCAGCTCTGCCATTTGGAGCTGTGTGACCTTGCGCAAATCTCTTAACCTCTCTGTGCCTCAGTTTTCCTATCTGTAAAATGGGGGTAATAATAGGACCACCTTATAGGATTGCTGTGAGGATTAAATTTATATGTCAAGTGCTTAGAACAGTACCTGGCACACACTGTTCTTTCTCTTTCATTGCTCCACCCCCAGGCCCCGGTGCTCAGGAAATGTGTGTTGACCCAAGGTGACCTCCAGTGCTAACCTATCAGCCCCTTTGCCCTGCCCTCTGCAATGGCCACACTTGGGTCCCCTCATCTCTAGGACCTTCCCCTGCCCCCAAGCACCCCCCCACCCCCCAGCAGAAGAGGTCACTTCTTCCTCTCAGGTCTCACCAGACTTCATTTTTACCTCTCTTTTGGGTCTGCCTAACTTCTTTCTTCTTAAAAATTTCTGATGTAATATTGTTCACTGGGGGAAAATTATAAAATACTGATAAATACAAAATTTAAAAAATAAGAGAAATTTCAATCATCTACAATCCCCAAACAAAGAGCAGCAGCTACCCCTTGGGAACACGTGCACCTTGCAACCTGCCCCCGACCCCACCCCTCTCTCCCATTATACTGACATCACCTGTCTGGCTCCTGCGGGCCTGGAATCAGCAGCCCTGATCTATATCCACTTTGTAACCTGGTGCATTCAATCGACAATACTTTGTGGACATCTTGCTCAATCAATAAACTTCTAATCGATCTCTACTGCATTCATTGGCCGCATGGTTCCCGGTGGACTTGAGAATCTGCTGCGCTAGTCTCTCACACCAGGGGACATTTAGATTGTTTCAAAAAAATTTCCCTTATACATATAAAAAATGCTGTGAGCCACATCCTTGTAGAAGAAGTTTTTGCACATCTGCTCATTATTTCTGCACATCGTTGCAAGATAAAGATTAGTGTGCATAATCTTTGCCCATTATTTCCATGGGATAAATTAAGGGCTATGTATTTTTAAGGTTTTTGGTAACCACAGCACCAACTACCTGTCAAAAGGTTGGGCCAAGTTTTGTCTTAATCAGAAAGATGTGAAAATGACTGTTTCCATACACTGTAGCAAGCGTTAAGTGTTATTATCTTCTTAAACTGTGCCTGATGGGGGAAACCATAACGCACTGTTGGTTTTATTTTCCACCTCTTTGAGTTGTACGGAAATTGACTCTTTCTCGCGTCTGATTGCAGTTTTTCGTTCATGACTTTTCTGTGTTTGCCATAATGTTTCAGTAGGTATACTTACCTTTTTTAAATCGCTAAGAACTCTGTAGGTTAGGGTACCAACCTTTTGAATGTTAGTTACAGGTATTTCAAGTCAAATTGGCTTTTTAATTGTGTTTATGGTTTTTCTCTCTCAATATAGAAGCTTTGAAGCTTATTTGTCTACTCAGGAGACCCCAGTCTCCACCGTGATGATCCTCTCTTATTCGCAATGCCCTGCTCTCTGGCACGGTGCTTCTCACTCACAGTGAGGTCCCCGGGCCAGCGGCATCACCACCATCACCTGGGAACCCTTCACAAATGCACATTCCTAGGACTTAACCGAGACGCACCGAAAGAAAAACTCCAGGGATGGGCTCCAGCAGCCTGTGTTTGAATAGACCCCTTGGACAATTCTGATGCATGGGATTAACTCTTGGTAATTACTTTGCCAGGTCCTCCTTTCTGCTTGTTTTCATGTGCCTAAAGACACCTCCCCGGATGTCCCTGTCCTTTCGTTTGTTAAACAGTACTGTGCTAAATGCCGGCACAAAGTGTTGAGCAAAAAGAGTCGTGGTTCCCGCCGTCAAGGCGCTTACAGTCTGGAAAGGAGAAAGAAAACATGCAAGAATTGTACGGACGTAAAGCTGCCTCCATGCCAGGTGCTCTTACAAGGGACATGCAGTGCTAAGAAAATTCTACCAGGGAGTTCGGCCTAGTTAAGGAAGAACCAATGAGTATCCTCAGAAAGAGAAAAGATCATGAATTAACTAGGAATGTCTCTAATAAGCCAATAATAACTGGATCATTTTAAATTAACCTGAGAATCTTTGTCTTCTTAATACAGAAGAGCATCTCATTTCCTTTTCTTGCCGTAACTGACTTGGTTTCACTTGTTTTATGATTTTTTTCCCTTACGCTTCATCCTTCCGGTTTCTCTCCTCGAAGTTTCAGTCGTTCGATGCATAAACTCTTTTCTTTGCCTTTCCATTATTCTCCAATACACTGTTTTGGACAGTATGAATGTTTCTCTACATACTGTCATCAAGCAGGAAACGATATGCTCACGTCTCTTACCACCGAGAACGCGAGTTTAACTGAGTGCTTCTCAAACTCCAGCATGTGTAAGAACCACTTACAGAGATGGCTACAACACAGGTCGCTGGGCCCCAGCCCAGAGGTCTGACTCCACAGGTCTGGCGCTGGCCCTGGGAATTCCCGTGGTGAGGAAGCTTCCAGGTGATGCAGAGGCGGCCGCTCTGGGGACCGCGCTTGCAGGAGGACAGCTTTAACCAACCTTTGCTGGATCCCTCGACGTTTCTCCCTTCCTGCATTTTTAGAACTCCCTTTTAATACTTGAGAATAAGCTCTGCCTTTTGCACTCGATTTGACGCTCAGATCTGCAATATTTTAAGCTTACTTCTGGTTTACCTGGCTTTGGTATTCACTACAAGTGCTCTCGTACTGTGAATTATTTCTTCGTAATTGAGCCCTTAAGTGTGCTCTACCACTCAGTTCCCTGGAGCATAACTTCAAATAACTTCTTGAAGATGAGTACACAGGAGATACAGTATGTTTTTGAGTCCTGGCTTCTTTCCTTTATACATAAATCACAATTTGTCTAGATATAAAATTCTTAGATTACAACCTTTTCCCTTCAAAACTATTTCATTATGAAAACAAAAAAACTATTTCATTACCTTTGTCATTTCGTACTGCAGAGAAGACTGAGGCATATGCATTGTGGATTCATTTGTATGTAACTTGCTCTTTTTATTTCTAAAGGGCCACATACTTTTTTTCTTTATATTTATGGTTTTGAAAAGTCACTAAGATCTACTTAGTTGCTGGTCTCTTTACATCCCTCTACCTGACCTATGATGAGCCCCTAAATCTACATACACAAACCGACCTTCAACTGAGCAAATTTTTCTTCTATTGTATCTATGAAGTACTGCTTCTGTCCCCCTGGCACTCCATCAGCAATCCTGGAACTGCTTCCCCATTCTCTGTATTTACCATGATTTCTTCTTATCACCTAATCTGTTCATGTCTGCCCTTCACATCAATTCCATTTCCATAGATCGACTCTGCTCTTTACTCCCTACAATGAAGTCTTAGTTCTGTTCTTGTATTTTTAACTTCTCTGCAATCCTTCCTCGTCTCATGCCTCCTTTTGCCTTTTCATATTATCCTGTTGTTTTTTTTTACTGTACAATTCCAGGCTCCTTTTTCACAGGGTTCATGCTATGGGCTGGACGGTGTCCCCCATAAATTCGGATGTTGATGCCCACCTCCCAATGTGATGGTATTTGGCCAAAACCTGATCTCAACAGAACCCAACCCTAACCAGCACCCTGATATTGGACTATCAGCCTCCGGAACTGTGAGAAAATGAATTGCTGTTAAGCCACCCATTGTTAAGGCAGCCCAAGTGGACTAGGACAGGGAACAGAATCAACTGTGGCTGTCAAACTAAATTTTCTTCTGGATCTTCTGGTAGACCATTTTCAGAGGGATGCTTTTCCCCCGAGTCTCCTAAGTTCACTTTGCCTTGTTTTGTGGAATTTCATAGTTCCCATGGCTTGTTTTTTAATTTATTTTTGAAGTGAGTCTTCCTGATCCACATGTAAAAATCAAGTAACCTATACACAAATCCAAACTTACTGTTTCAGTAGACATGAACGAACTGCTCTGAATCTTCCCATTATCACGGAAAACCATCACAGTAATGATTCTCAGATCTGCAGCTGGAGAGCAAGCTGACACACAGGACCCACCCCTTAGCCCAGCTTCTTCTGAGAGGACTCCTCTGCTCCTTCATGCCTTGGGCTTCCTCCTCAAGTCCCTAATTCTCTAATCTGTTCAGCTGACGTGAACACGGAAGGCATACTTCCCAGCATGCACGGCGACCAGGTTGTTTTTCTCTTCCCCCACCTATAACTGCTACTTATGGCAACTAGTCCGGCCAGTGGACGGTCCCTCTACTGGCTCCTCCTATTCTACACATTATTTGTATAGTTCTGTGGCACTGGCCTGCTTAAAGAAGTGGCAGAAACCCAGGAAGCAGTGTTCTTATCTCGCAAGGCAGCTCCTGAGTGGTAACAGGGGACAGCCTCGCACTATGACAGAAGCCTCATTTCCATAGCGCCAAGCCTAATTTTCTCAACGCAGTTCCCTACTCCACGTCATCGGGGGTCATTCCTCCCAGGTCCTAGCATGGGTTGTCTGTAGGGCTTAGTTACCGACACACACAACAAGTTGCATCTTGTTCTGTGCCTTTCAGGGTAATTAACAGGCACCACTTATTTCATGCTTCCATGTAAGCATCACAGACTAATTCCTTTATAAACATAATCTCAGCTCATCTCCATGACAATCCTGAGAGGTGCTGTATTGTCCTCACCCGGTTTCTGAATTCAGGAAATGGTGGATTAGAGCGATTACAGAACTTGCAGGATGTCACGCAGGGATTAGGTGTAAGCTGGGATTCACGTCGGGGATGGTTCTAAAGCTCCCGTTCTCCTCTCTCTCTTGGCAGCACAGCTCATTCCTGACGTCCTGAACGTGAGCCAGGTGCTGGCTGGACACTTCATACTTTCATCCTGCAGAACAGATGGACGTTCTTGCGCCCAACTTACAGATTGGTCAGAGGACACTCAGAGAGTGTAAGCGGCTAGTGAACTGGCAGTGCCAGCACTTGAATCTGAGCCTGCTGGACTCTGAAGCTGATGTCCATGATTACAGCGTTAGGTACGGAATGGATGGGCAGGGCTGTGCTAGGGCTCCCTGTCCTGACTACTGCGACTGTCCGGCACGGGACGTGTCTGATGCACAACAGGGTGTTCTCTCGGTCTACCTTCTGGCAGTTTTCGTATTGAGGATCTCACCATTTTCTTTATCTTCAAGATAATTTTAATGTTACTGTTTATTGAATGTTTACCATGCATATCACAATCAGTGTGCTAATCGCTTTACAGATATTATCACATCTGCGGTTTCCTGAGTGCTTTAAGAATAAAAAGCAAGCAGAGGCTCGTCCCCTATGAGGACAGAGGAACAAGAGGCATAGCTACATGGAACAGACTGACAGCTGCTGGAGCGGAGCGGGGGTGGGGGGACCCGGATGAAAGAAGGAGAAGGGAAAGCCACAGAACCTGCATGTGTGACCAGAGGACACGGGGAATGGGTGGGGACTGCCTGAGGGGGTCGGGCAGGGTGGAGGTGGGCAAAGGAGGAAAAGTGGGAAAGTGGGGACAACTATAATAGCACAAACGACAACAACAACCAAAGGCATTCAAGGACCTGGCCAGTGCCTTCCAAGGGCCTGGGACCAAGCTCCATCCCAGGTGCATCCTGGGCTTCCCCGCTGTGCTCCCTCAATTTCTCTTCTGTCAGAGTTCCACATCCTTTTGTTCTATGTGTATGTGTATATTTTCACAAGCTGCCTTAATCCTTACTGTGATAAGGCAGAGTCACTAAAGGTCTTTCAGGGGGCAGAGAGGCACAGGACATACAAAGAGAAAGAAGCAAGATTGTACATTTCTGAAGGACTGGACCAGATGAGACCGCATGGAGACGCTCTCCTCCGCCCCCAAAAGGTCTTCCTAAAATGCAGATCCAATTACGTCCCTTCCACATGTAGTGCGTTCTTCCCAGGCTCAGCTCGTTCTACTCGGGAGTAAGTCTAGGTGACTCTGTCCAGCATTCAAGGCTCTCTAAAACCTGAACTCAGAACTGATTTACCTTTCCCTGGCTGGTGTAGCTCAGTAGACTGCATACCAGCCTGTGAACCAAAGAGTCACAGGTTTGATTCCCAGTCTAGGGCACGTGCCCAGGGTTCGGGCCAGGTTGCCAGTAGGGGGCATGCAAGAGGCAACTACATATTTGATGTAGATTTATCTCCCTCTTTTTCTCCCTCCCTAAAAAATAAATCAAATCTAAAAAAAAAAAAAATCAATTTGCCTTTCAATTCCCAGAAAAGTGCTACTCTTCTGCCTTCACAGGGGCTCATTTCCGAGCCTGGTCCCCATGCGGAAGCCCCCCGGAGTCCCAAGGCGGGACAGGCACTCCTGGCACCCACAGCCCCCTGTGCTTCTGGATACACGGTAACGACTGCTTACTGATCTATGGGCCTCCTCAGCGCATGCATCACCCAAAGGGAGGGCCACGTCTGTCCTGCTCGCTGCCCCATCCCCACAACACTCAGTACAAGTGTGCTGGGAACAGGCGGGTCACGTGCCTGGCTCCTGCCCTTTATTGGGACAGGACAGAGCGTTTGCCTACAGTTCCCCTGGACAGCTTCACTGGCTGATACACCCCTTCAGATGACAATAACAGGTTATTTTCCGAGCACCTATTATGTACCAGGCACTGTGCTAATGAACAGGTGATTGATATCCATGATCTCATTTAATCCCCCAACAAACCTGTGGGGACTTGTCATCCTCATGCCACAGGTGAGGAGCCGAGGCTCAGGATGGCTAACAGACTGCCAGGGTACCAAGCATGTGCTACCTTCACTGTCCTAACCTTGACCCTGTGCCATCCTGCTGCTTCTCAAAAGCAAAATCCTAACACTGACTGACCCATTTGACAGGTGGGCAAAGTGAGGTATGAGAAGGCCAGTGGCTCGCTGGCCAGAGACATTGCTGCCGGATGAGTAACACCACCCTCTTCCAGCGGTGGAACTCACCTTGCCGCCCTCAGCCAGCCCCCTCCTGAGTCCCCACCCAGCCCCCGTCCCGAGGAGAGGCCCGCATACTTGGCCCGATTTTCTGGAATGGTTCCGGGGGTTCCTCCTTCACCTCTTCAGTGGCCACGACACCTTGGTCAAAGGGATCTGTGGGAGAACACACGGTCCTTAGCGCCCTGGTGACCAGGTCTCAGGAGCCCAGCTGGGGACCAGAGAGATGGCCAGCCACCAAGTACTTACCTGCCCGATTCTCAGGGGCCCCTTCCACACTGAACACTGTGTCCGGGCAGGAGGCAGCAGCCACAGGAGGAAAGCAAACAGGAGCCCTGTTAGTCCCTGACCACCCACAGGTGCCAGTGCCCACTGCTCCCAGCCCCTGTCCCGGTCAGCTTGCCTTTGGGGACTAGGAGAGCCACCTTGGCTAGCAGGGATGCCCCAGAAACCCAGGGGCCACAGGGCAGTGCATCCCAACCAGGACACGGCCCGTGTCTCCATGCTGCTTCCTCCCAACCCCCACCCAGCAGGGGCAGGCAGGCATTTCCGTCTGCTGCTGGTCCCCAGCACCCATTGAGGGGCCAGGGGAGACCTCAGGAGGAGAGGGGAAAAGCAGGCAAGAGGAAGGATGAGCCAGTAGGAAGTGAGCCTGGCTGTGAGGTAGGCTCGGGTGAGGGGGCTACGGAGGGGCCCCGAGATCCTTCCCAGGTCCAAGACTCTATTTCTAGGATTCTTAAGTTTCTAAAAACAAATTACCTAAATTTATTGTTCTAATTTCTAACTCTATAATCTAAGACACTAAAATATCATCAGTCATTTAAAAAGATTGGTTTAATTTCGCCAGAGCACGTGAATACTCAATATGAAACCATATAATGAATTGATATGAAATGGTGGGCATTAGACTGATTGTGATCTACAAAACTGGCAATTTCGCTTGGGTTACCCTGATCAGAAGTACATGTGGAAGGTACTGGAGACCCTTTCTCCCCCAGGATCCTCAGGGGTCGGTCACTCCCCTCATGGTCTTGCCCCTGTGTGACCTTCCTCCGGGTGGGAGGAGGAAGGAAGGGCTGAGGGGAGGGGGGGCCACATAAGCGGCCCTGGGTGGTGTTGGAACGCTCTCTTCTTGTGGCTCGCTCCCAAGGAGTAAGAGGCCTGACTCACCATCCACTGCATGCAGGTCTCGGTGCTCCTGGAAACAGCTGTAGTATTTGTACTTCTTCCCGCAGATGTCACACGTGTACCTGAAATTGTCTGTGGGAACATGTGGTTACCAGGGCTTAAGTCACTTGGGGTGGGATTTGGGAGGCCAGCTCACCTGGCCTCAGGAATCAAAGAAGGGACTAGTTCAGACTGGCCCCAGTGGGTGACTCCATGGAGAATCAGTCCCAGGGGGTGTTAGGGGCCTCTACACAAGGGGACTGGGAAGCCAGTCCCACATATGGGAGCTCAGCTCCTAAGGGCAGGTCGTAGCTGGCCCCACAGCTAAGCAGGCCTGGGGCAGGCAGCTTTGGAGAGGGCTCCCAGGGACCCCGGCCTCCTCGTGTTCACATGCTGCATGTTCCCTTCTCCTTGAGCCTGGGCAGGACTTGCTTCTAATGAAGACAATGCAGTAAACTGACATCCCTTCTCCATCCAAAGATGTCACTTCTGAGATTAGGTTACAGAAGACCATGACTTCGTTTGGCTCATACGGTCTCGCTCTCATTAGCTGGCATGCTGTGAGCTGCCCCTCGGAGACCACCTGGCAGCCCCGGTGAACAGTGGGGCACTGAGGCCCTCCATCCAAGAGCGTAGGAAAGGCCAACTCTGCCAATAGCCACAGGAATGAGTGTGGAAGCAGCTGCTGCTCTGGTTGAGATCTGAGAGGAGACCATGACCCTGGCTGACACCTTGACTGCAGCCTTGCATAAGACCCAGAACTGGAGGACCCACTCCCAGATTCTGACCACAGAAACCAGGCGATAATCCGTGTTTGTTGCTTTAAGTCGTTAGGTTTGGGGAAAATCTGCCAGACAGCGATAGATAACAAACACAGGGCCCGAGTCTGGATAATCCTGGGTCTACCCAAAGCCAGAGGCTGGACTCACACTGAAACTTGTCCTCTGCACACTGGCAGCACTAACATTTGCCCACACAAACCTTGCATGTGCACTTCTTGGGCTGATCTAGGGATGGCCCAGCCACCCCATCCTTCTAAGGATGCCCAGTGCGAGGAGGCTGGGCAGCTTGCTCAGGCTACACACTGGGGCTGGGAACAACCAGGATGCAAGTACTGACCTAATTCTAAGCCACGGCCGAGTCAGGGTGCATGGCCCTTCCCTGTCCAGCTACCCTCCGCCCCTGGGCTGGGGCACCAGCCTCTTGGCCCTTCTGCTCTTTGACACCCAAGGACAGGATCGGATGAGACCCCTCCATGCCCAAGCTGCAATGCCGGGCAGTTCTGTGTGAAGGTTTCTGGTCCCTACGTAGCTGAACTTTGGGACACAGAAGACAACAGTCATCTCCCCACCTCTGCCCCCACCTCATGCACTGCACCTGCAGTCTCTGAAAGAGCCAGGTACCAGGGCCACAGAGACTAACTGGTCCCCGAGCGAGGTGTGCACACAGCCTCGGCACATGCGGACACTCTGAGGGTGGGGGGATCAGACAGGGTCCAGCCAGCCACCCTCCTACCAGTCTGTCCCATCACGCCTGAACCAGCCAGCGTATGGTGCGGGGGGGAAGGCCTGGCCCTGCCTGACCTCACCCAGCCAGCCAGCGCCACTCCATCTTGGGATTCAGTGTCCCCTCTTCCCCCTAATTTGAGGGGAGGGGAGAGTAGTGGATGACCTGAATCTTGGGGCCTCACCCAGGCTGGCAGTTCCAGGATTCCAAGCCTGACTGAGGCTTCCAGCCTGTTCCCTGGCCAGGAATCCAGCTTAGACAATGACCTCCCCCATCGAGTCCCATCCAGACCATAATCCTCTCTGGGTGCTGGACATCTAGGGAACAGAGGTGGAGAAGTCAAGGCCACCTGGGGTCTGCGGGTTCCAGATGGGGCCCTGCCCCTGAAAGTCCTCTCCCATATGGGCCTCCTGCTTGCCTCGTCCCTGCAGCCAGCCAGGCCACGTGCACCACCTCCAATCAAACGGGAGCCCCTAGTTTCTGCCACTGAGAAGCGCCTGCCCAGCATGCGGTGTCGAATCCCACACCACTACGCCCCCAAGGGTCAGGGAACACATTGTCAGACCCACCCAAGGCAGGCGTGGATGAGGACAGTAGAGCTCTCCCTAAAGAAAGAACGTGAAAGCACATTCTCAGAACTCCGGGAGAGCGGGGTGTCTCTGGAAACAGCCCCGCAGACCCACTCTGGGAGGCAGCCTGCCGGAGCTCAAACCCAACTCCGCAGCTGATGAGGACGACGAACACTAACACGCTCCCCAACCTCCGCCCCACGGCTTTCTTCTCCGGAAAATGGGGGCCACAGTTCCCTCACCTCCTGGAGGTGTAATAAAGAATAAACGAGTACAATGCTAAGGAAATTGATGTGACAACGGCAAGAGAACTGGATGTGAAGTTAGTCTTTTTGTTAGCTGAGATGGGTAAGTGGGCAGAGGCCTCTACGTGGGACTATAATTTTTCTAACAAAGAAATGAAAGATTCCTGGACTAGAGGTGTGAGACCTGGTTTCCGTGCCCAACGCCACCCCTAACAAGCTGTACGACTTCTCTCTGGGTCTCAGTACTCTCCTCCGCACCACGGGTGGGCTGGACCTGCTCTCCTCAACAGGACCCTTTGGTTCTAGGACTCTCTGGCCAGGCTCCCACAACAAGGCTGGGGTGTGAGGACGCCAGGCTTCCTGGGCGGGCGCTGCTGGCCTGGGTCAGGGCAGGGCTGCAGCACTGGGAACAAAGTAAAGCACACTGGCCACAGGGAGAAAACGCCACAGGAAGGAAGGGAGAAGCGATGCAAGGACTAAAAACAGCCCTGGCTACAGAGTCCTTAACAGCCAGCAGGCCTGCGGGAACAACGGAAGTCAGACGGAACACAACCCATCATTGAGGGGCTGCCGGCGAGGCCAGGGGCCCAGAATAGCTGAGGACGGAAAGATAGATGGGGAAGGTCTTGAAATGGGAGGCTGACCACAGGCAGACTACGGGAGCTGGAAGAGAAGGGAGCTACTGAAGGAGGAGCAGCCTGGGGCCAGGCAGAGGCGTGGGGGGCTCGGGAGAAGGGGCAGGCCTTTGCTTCCTTCCGGATGTGGGCCCTCTGGCTGCTGCCAGCCACCCTGAGCCCGAATCCTCCTCCAGAAAGTGGAAGAGTAGCCTCAGCCCTGCCTGCCCACCACGAGGGTAAGAACCCAAAGCAAGAGGATGGGAAAGCACCTCAGGAGGTGTGCTGATGCCCGTGCAGTTAAGGTCCTGCCTCAGCCCCAGACGCCCATTTCGGATTTGTTTGAGGGGGTCATGTTTGTTTATATTTTAAGAAACGTTTTTATGGCGGTATAACAAACATGTAGGACAGGTGTTCACGTCTGTGCAACATGGCAGAGACAAGCAGTTGTGACAGGGATGTCTGGTGACCTGCGAGGTCCCAAACGATCAGTACACGGTCACCTACAGGAGCGTGCTGGCCCCGATGGAGAAAGGGCACAAACCCTCCGTGTGCGGCTTGTTCCATTTTTGCGAACCCGAAACACGGGGACTTGGTGGACCCAGCGCCCAGCTCCACTGTCGGGACCCAGCAGCCGCTTCCTAAAGGGAACCAGGATTCTGACTCTTGCGGTGCGACTTCGTGTCCCCATTTCTGCACTTCCTGCACGCAGAACTCGGAGGAGGGACTCTTGTGCTGGCTGCCTTTGCTCCTGTGGCTGGTGGGTCATCCACTGCTGTTTGTGGCTCTCAGTCTTTGCTCCTCGTTGCTATACTGCGGTCCTTTGTGTGAACACTCCGTGACTTACTTATCACTTCAACTAGCTGGGCACTCTCTTGGGAGGTCTCTGGTTTGGAGCTGTTACAACTAGCACTGCTGAGAACATCCCAGCTCACAGCTCAGGGTGGACGCAAATGAGCACACATTTCTGCTGGGACACACCTGGGACTGCGTGAAGCTGCTGGGTGCCGGAGCTCAGGGTTTTTGGGTGCACCCCAGCCTGCACCCCTCTGGCTGGCTGCTTACCAGGCCTGCGGGTTTAGAGCTGGAGGGAGGGCAAGCAGGGCCTATGAGCAGCGAAGAGAACACTGTCCCCAGATGTCGAGGCCCTGCACATCCCAGGCTCTGGGTACCACTCCCCAGTTCACTGGTTCCCACGGGTGCTCAAGAGACAACTCACTCACTGAAGCAGAAGTTCCCCAACATCGGCTATGGAGCCCAATCCATGGAGGGGAGTCAAAAGAACAGAAGAAACGGCATATTCTGGGCCCCTCTTAGAGGCACCTGTGCAACCTGCCAATGAAAGGCCTGAGAAGTCTGTAGCAAGAAACACGCTCATCTTAGCGGAACTCAAGGTTTCCCCAGGCGTTTTGGCCAGAGAACGCTTTACCGAGAGAACACCTACTGGCTTCCCTAGAATGAGTATGCCATGGAACACACTTTGGAGAAGGCCGTTCTGAGGTACTGTGTTACAGTTCCGTAAGAACCTTCTGGCCCTGCTGGTTGGGGAGGGGGGAGGATGAGTGTTCCCTCCTCCTACCCCTGGCTCTCTCACCCAGCTCCCCGAAAACCCATAAGGAGGAGAAAATACTCACTGCCTTGGGAGGCTCCCTCCCCTGAGGTGGCTTCAGTGTCTGTGAGAGAAGGAGAGGGGGAGGGGGAGGAGGGGGAGGAGAGAGAGACAGAGGGAGGGGGGGAGAGAATGAGAAGGAGGTGAGGATGCTGGACCAACGGCCAGGCACATGAACCCGCTACAATGCACACAGGGACACTCTCCCCAATTCGTGATGCAGATAACTGAGCCTCTCAGTCCCTCCCCATGCCTCCCCGCCATCGGTCAAGGTCCCTAGCAGCCAGGCTCAGGGAGGGTCAGGTGCCAGCCCTCCTGTCCCCTCAGCTTCAATGTCCTCATCTTCAGAATGGACGCAGCCACCCATCCCCACTCTAGGCCTGTCATGGGGAGCACATGAGAGGACACTAGGCAGCACCAAAGCACTCTGGGAGGAAGCAGGTCTGTGCGGAGCAGGCAGGGGGCCTTGGTGGCAGAAGCCTGGTGGCCTGTCCTGCAGCCCCCTACCCCTGTGCACTCTCCCATGTAAAGGAGGATACACCTCTCCTCCTCTGACGTTACCCAGGTGGGGCCCTGGCAGAAAAATGGGCAGAGAACAGGGAGGCGTGGCCCCTAAACTCCGCCAGAGGGACACCACTCACCTCGGTGTGCGCGTACGTGGGTCTGGAAACAGTTGTAATACTTGTACTTCTTGCCACAGATTCCACACTCGTAGGACCCTGGAAAACAGGAAGGAAAGGTACCGCTCAGCCAGCACCCAATGCGTGCAACCGCGTGGCCCCAGTACCCGCGGTGCGGCCTCCGGGGACCACGGACTCTGCCTCAAGGGGCAGGGCTCCTCCAGAGGCCGCCTCCACCCCAGTAAGCAGGGAGGCAGCGCGGACCTGCAGAGGCATCGCCCACCTGGAGGTCGAGGGCCTGGGGCTAGTTCCAGGTGCACCTCCTGGAGAGGGGTGCCCGCCCCTCCCTCTGAGTGACCTTGGGAGACCTCTGGGCCTCAGTTTCCAAACCTGCAATATGGAGGAGGCAACTTCTTTAAAAAAACTTTTTTTAAGACTTTATTTTTAGAGAGGGGGAAGGGAAAGAGAAAGAGAGGGAGAAAAACATCAGTGTGTGGTTGCCTCTCACACGCCTCCTACTGGGGGCCTGGCCTGCAAGCCAGCTATGTACCCTGACTGGGAGTCGAACTGGTGACCCTTTGGTTCTCAGGCCCACACTCAATCCACTGAGCCACACCAGCAGGGCAGAGAAGGCAACTTCTTTAGGTAACTCTCATACTTACTCCCTGAGAAAAAAGATGACAAAGGTAAAAGTCCTTCACAATAAAGGAATAAATTGCAACCGTGTAATGAAATCATCACTCGAACACATGAGAATTTCTAGCTACTTGTCCTTCCCAGGATAAGACAGGTGTTTAGTGGACAGGCTTCAAATCAGACACGTTTGGGCCCCTGTCCCTGTTCTGCCACTTACCAACAGCACGACCTGGGTAACTTCCTCATTCACACTAAGCCTCAGTCAGTGTGTTCATCTGCAAACTGGGACTGAAAGTGCCCGCCCTGCAGGTGGGGCCCTACACAACCCCGGGAAGTACACGGCCCTACCACAGACAGCCGTGTCTGACAGGGAGAGGACCCCTCCTCTGCGGGGAATCTGCCTTGTTCCCTCAGACCAGCAGAGAGAACACGGTACAAGCACCTGACCCCAGCCCTGTGCTGGGTCCTCTCCCCCAGAACAGGGGGACTGAAAGGACCGAGTTCCCAGCGGGCGTATTTCGGACAGGTCAGAGGTGGAGGAGCCCGCCACGCAGAGCACACGGCTAAGGCCCACAGCAGGAGGCCAAGCAGAGCCCACGGGACCCTGCCCAGCAGAGGTCCCAGAGTGGGGGCCCTGCCGTCCCTCACACGGGCCTGACGCCACCTGGGCCCCGGCCCCATCCTTCTTAACACATAAATACACAGGCCCTGGCCCCACTCCAGGGTTAACGTGCTAGAATGGCTCGGGCTAGTGGCCTAGGAATCTGCCTTCTTAGAAGGGTCCCCAGGGCGTCCGGATGCCCAGCCACCAGGTATGAGAATCACTGGTTCAGACAGAGTCTCAGCTCCACTGTTTCCCGGCCGGCCTGCAGTCTGTCTCCTCACTGGGGAACGTGGACCATGTGAGGGCACCAACGTGAAGACTCAGTGAAGCAGGACGGAGTTCCCCGCCGAGCCCAGGGACGCGGTGAGTGGATGAGGCGTCAGACTAAGTCAAAGAGCACTGGGCTTGGAGTCTGACTCTCACCTCTGACTGCCACCCCCAGCTGGCCGATCTCAGGCACAGGCCTTTTCCGGCCCGTACCTCACCTTCCTCATCTGAAATGCAGGACTGTGACTCCTGCGCCTCAGCACCGAGGTCGGGATTCATGAGGCACAGCACGCAAGTCGGCTGACCCGCAGGTGGCATTGTCACCTAACTACCGTGGAGCACTTAGGGGAACGCCATTGTCCTGACACCGGTGTGGGATGGAGCAGCCTGTCACCCAGTGATTTTATGCATCTTGTCTCACAGGGGAGAAATGTAAACACAGGGGAGAATGTAAAGATCGGATTTGTGTATTTCTTTGTCTTTGGCTCCATAAACTTATGGTGTTCCATTCATCTGTCACCGAGCAACAGCGACCCAATGCCATGGCCACCGTGTACCCCAGGATGGTGCAGTGGGCTGCTCACTGAGGGGCCTTCTGGGGACTCTCAGCTGAGGCAGACCCTTGTCCCCCCTGCCTGACTTTCTGCATGTCATGCTTCCTCACTCTTGGGTTCCCCAATTACCTTTTTGTCCTCCGTCACCATCACTCTCTACTAAGCACCAGGTGCTGCACAGGCCTGGCCTCTGACCTCAATGTGCAGGTGAGGAAGCTGAAGCTGGCACACTGCCAACCAGTGGGAGTGGGGTCGGGACTCCGGCCCCCCTCACACATCAGCTCAGTTCATCCTCACCAGCCCAGCAGCCAAAGGCAATAGTTACCCCCATTCTCAGGTGAGGGAAGTGGGGGTCGGACGGTGACGCACACTGTCCAGATCTGTCTAGATCCAAATCCAGTGTGCGTACCCACCACGCAGTCAGCCACTGGGGAAGCACCAAGAGGAGATGGTGTTTGTTCGCATTAACACTTACTGAGGACACCCAGGTCTCACTTCTGTCCTCCACCTTCCCGGAAGTCCTCATGTGGTTGGGGCAACTGAGCGCCCACTTCAACGATGAGTTTCTAAGTGCTAAGGGGGCAGGTGGTCCAAGGCTGGGGCTACTCAGCTCATGGTTTGCAAGGAACTGGGCTCAAAGGCGGCCACCAGGCTCCAGGGCCATCCTACTGCCACCATGGCAGGTCCCCTCTGGGTGCCAAAGGAGCTGTAAATCCCCGTCCATCATGGGACTCCCCGATGCCGCAGGGCAGCAGAACACCCCATCCATGCCTGGTACCATCACAGGACCCCAGAGTCCACTATCAAGAGGCAGGGGCAGCTGGCAGAGCACGCCAGCACTTGGAAGCGAGCCTTTTCCCCTCCCCCATCCTGCTGTCACCAGTGACACATCAGGGATCCTCAGGCACCAACCAACAGCACTGTCCAGCACTTTCTACAGCTACCAGCAGAGAACCTGGCTTAGCACCCTCCCTGAGAGCCCTGGGCAGGCCAGGTGAGACCAGCAGAGGCCGGGGGAGTCTAGTGCCTGCTGCCACGGAACAGGGAAAAGTGGAACATGGAGGTGGAGCAGGCTGTCTCCTGAGGACAAGGAGCATGGGTAGCACCCCCAACTCTCTCATTTGCACCCAGCTAGCTCCCCGATAAGCTCAGACACATTTCAGGACACACGGAAATGCAACAAGGCAGAAATCCGGAGCAGGTGAAGGGGAAAAGAAAAAACGCAAATGGGGTCAGACAGAGTGATGGCCCCTCACAACGGCCTCGGCTTACAGATCAGATGCTGAGGAGTGGCCCAAGCCTGCTGGGGGACAAGGGACCTAGAGAGGTAAGTCAAGGATGAGCAGGTGTCCTGAGGCTCTCCGGGACTTGGCCTCAGGCCAAACGTCCTCTGAACCAGGACCCTCCAAGCAGAGAGAAAAGTCCCTAGGGATGTGTGACCACAGGCAGTTTTAAGATAACCAGTCCCCAACCATCAACTCCCAAATGCATCTTTCCCAAAATCAACAGGATGGAGAACATGGCAGCGGGCGGGAGAGCCCGCCCCCACTGGTTCTCCCTTCCTCCTCCCCTCTCACCTTCCCCCTCCTCCCACTTTACTAATGAGACAGTTTTGTCCTCCACCTAATCCCGCTGTGGTGTCCTGCATGGGGGATGATCATCGCAGGGCTCCCGGCAAAGGCGCGATCTCAGATACTGGCGTCGGGCTCAGACGGTGGGGGGGGTCTACTGACCGGGAACAACTGCCCTGAACTGAGTGTTTTCTGAGTCTCAGCTCTCAACAGAACTGACGATCTAATGTGGTCGTCAGAGGAGAGACCGTGAAAAATAATGTCTGATGAGAAACCCCTATGTAATCTCCAGCAGACTTGGAGTCAAAGAACTGAATGACGCAAAACAAAAATGAACTAAGCAAACAACTAGACCAGGAACAGAGTCACAGAAATGGAGATCACATGGAGGGTTATCAGCAGGGAAGGGAGAGGGGAGAGAGGGGGAAAAGGTACAGGGAATAGGAAGCATAAATGGTAGGTACAAAATAGACAGAGGGAGGTTAAGAATAGTATAGGAAATGGAGAAGCCAAACAACTTAAATGGATGACCCATGGACATAAACTAAGGTGAGAAGTGATGGGGGGGGCGGTGCAGGGTGGAGGAGAATAAAGGGAGAAAAAAATGGGACAACTGTAATGGCTTAAACAATAAAATACACTTTAAAAAATACTTTAAAATGTACTTAAAAAAAGAAGAGACACTGATAGTACAAAACTCCACACCTCCCTGGCTCCTCAGTTAGGTGACCCAGCTTTCTAAGCACTTAACACTCAGGAAAACCAAAAGACGGGAATTAAATTAATGCCAAATCCTGTCTCACGCAACATATAAGAAATATTAATTCGCAGAAACATGAGCCAATTGAAAAAGAAATAAAGCCCCATCCATTTTATGAAAAGGTGCATTTTCGATAATTTTTTACTTGTACATTTATGGTTGCTCTAAATTTGTTTTTGGCAAGTTGTATGCTAATAATAACTCAACCTGGAAAAAAGTGTTTTAAAATATAGAGCTTTATGAGCCCAACAAATTTTTTAGAAATTTCTATTTCAATTTACATACATCTTGTTGTGGGAGATGAGTGTGAAACTGTGATCAATAAAAGACTCTCAAGCATAAAAAATATATTACATTAGGATAAAATCCTGTGAGGGAAGTGGACCAGAAATATGAGTTCAAGGAGAGAGAGGAAGATGTAACATTTCCGACGGTTAAAGATGGGCCTGTTCCTGTGTTTCTTAAATGGATGGCGGCAGACAGCGAGCAGCGGCGGGGTTCTGATTATCCTGGACACATCTAAAAGGGCCCACGGTTTTATTTCCAAAGGCCACTTTTTTTTTTTTTTACACAATACTCCAGAAATGATATCCTCTGTAATGACTTAAACGTTGAATTAAAATGTAAGATGTCAACTCAAACATGTGAAAGAGAATACAGTTTCTCAAAATTCTTTCAGAGGACACTGAACAGAAGTAAGTGCAAAG